GCGAGCCGTGATCGTCCCTCCTTTACAGACACCAGCACGGCATCGAGGCCTCTGTCCAAGTACGTATGACTATTGCTGTGTCAGCGCGAAGCTTTGCTGCAAGTCCTGCATCTAAGCAGCCCGTCATGTCGAGTTTCAGGTCATTTGGCCCTACCCATGCAATACATCGCCTCTAGGGCAGCTGGACTGTGTGCATCCTGTGGCCCAGTGTAATAAACCTCCGAGCATAAAGGCGAGGGTGAGGGCAAGAGTTGAGGGCTAAATAGGAAGAGGGATTCGGACCTTCAGGTTCGCAAAGGGTCTGGATGCAGGGATATAGAGGAGGCCTGGGAAAGAAAACTGCAAAAGGATGAAAAACAACAGATTGTCAGCGCGGTCATTACCTGAGGGCAAGCGCCCATGATCCCTTCCACGTGTTGTGGCACGTTGCGGCCCGCTGCAAAGCAAAATCTGACCCGCTTCCAGCCTGGATGAAATCGAAACAATTACTGCGAAACAGTCTACGTTCAATCCAACGGATGGAGCACAAGTTGCATCTAACAGACCTTGGACTGGTCGCGGGAACAGCTGCATGACACTCCCATATCTCTCGCATGACAACATGGTCGATAACCATCCGATGCCGTGCATTGCATCTCAACTGACGGGGACGCTTGTCTCGCTTATATGCATCTTCAAAATATTTGCGGTGAGAGTGGGCTATATGCCCATAATGGCGAGATAAGTGAACTTTTTCGGTAACACAGCCGAATGCGAGCCCATGATGGTCTTGATCCTTCTGGAACCCACCTTGGATTTTACCCGCCTGAGCAAATGTAATGCTCGAATTTTCCTTGCTTGGTGCCGGCATACCCCATGACTGCCAACGATATATGTATGTATGTATGTACGTATGTAGGTAGGTAGGTAGATAGGTATGTATGTATGCAGATGCCGGTAGAGACGATCGAGATATACCCATGCATGATTTTGCTGTAGTATGACGCCTGGATTTATCCGGACCATTGGCCTCTGATGCTCATGGTCGGATCAACGTCGGAATTAGGTTTTCTTCCGGAGTATTGGAAGCAGCAAGGGACAAGTACACCTAGGGTCAAGGTCTTTGAGGCCTCTTCCCTGCACCAGCCTGTCCGGTGAGGAGTGACGCTGCACTGCGAGACAGACAGGTGCGGGTGCGAGATCAGACATGGTTGACATTGGTCATGCAGCACAACATGAGGCCTCGGCGGTGTGCACGGCGCCAGACATGCGGTTGTTGACCTGCACAGCAATGGGGAGTCAAATCTACTACACGAGGGGTAGAGGAGCGGTGACATCTGGCTTGCCGGCTGGAACGTACGAGTTGTTGTTGCTACTACGTCCTGACATGATGCGGTGAGGGAGTGCGTGACCGGAGCCATAGTCGAGGCACTTAGGGGAGTAGATGCGTTTGATAGATGCGGCCATGGACCAGGGCAGCCGCATTGTCACATAGTGTTGTAGGTATGTAATGTGTGTGTGTGTGTGGGCGTGTATGTGGGCGTGTATGTGTGTGTGGGTGTGTGCAACTAAGTAGGAGGAGGGCAGGGAACATGGTTCATCCACATCGTCAGCGGGCGGGGAAGGACTCGGGCCTGTCCGTTTGGACACTTGACACTGCCGCTGCCTCGATCGTCTAACCCAGGTGAGCCTGACAGGACAAACAGTGCGCCTTGACGCAGCGGGTGGGAGATCCGTGTGTCCTGGAGAGATGGGCCTAACGATTGACGTGCATACCATGAACTAGTGGAAAGCTCTGAGCGACCCGCCTGGGGAGTGAGCAAGCCTGCCCAGAGGGCGTCTGCAAGGATGAGGGCCAGGCTAGTGGGTGATCGCAGGTCGCATTTGCCCGAACAAGGGCCGCGGCTTCTTGCCGATGGTTCCGCGCACCGCCGCCGCTGCTGCTGCCGTCCGCATCATTGCGCTTGGACCAGCGCATGATTGAAACATCGACTGCACGCTATCAAGTCCATTTGGCTTGTTGTGATGCCGACCACAACGAGAGCTCGCACCACCCTAGCTTCTGCAATGCCGCCTCATTGGGTGCGTCGCCATGGCCGTTGTGCAATTGGCCTGCCAGCCCTATCCTCTCCATGGCTCCCGACGAGGAATCCTGTCCTTGGGGACGCCATGTCACTCGACACCGCTGTCCTGTGCTTGTGCTTGTGCTGGTGCTGGTGCTGGTGCTGGTGGCCACGATACTCTACATGCATGCTGTCTGTATCCAAGTATACCACCCACCAACGGCTCTCCAGCCTCCGCCGACGACCTGCTACTGCTGCTGCCGCTCGGCAAGGGGGAGATGAGGCAGACGAGGCCATCTAGCCATAAGCCCAGTGCATGTTTGAGGCTACTGCAGGTCCACTATTCGGGATGCTGAATTTCCTAACAAATTCAGCCACGCATCCACAGCCGTCATAGCCACTGGGCCAGCAATACGCAATGGAGAGGAAGAGCCGTCAAGACAATAGGGACCCCTGTGCTTGGTGTCATCGTGGCCAGCACCGAGGTCCAAGCAGCGCCTCGCTAATCGGGGCAGTGAAGGGGTCTCTGCAAGGCTCCCGTGTGGCACAGATTACATCTTGATGCCAGCAGCTAGGTGCCGGATCCATGTCAAAGGGGGCTTGCCACTTCCCACGCGCATCTCAACACACGAACGGTCGAGCTAGCCGGACAAGTGAGGGGGAGGGGAGGGGAGGGGGGTCTCACGCCAGAAGCAGCTTCGAGTGCATGTTATGGTGATGTGGATGGCGACGACCCTGCCTTACTGTGGCCGTCTCGAAATCGGCATTTGTACATGTCGAGGAAACTGCGTCTATGTTGCATGTCGCGCGTACGCTTCACCATCTCTAGTTCAGACACAGACAGACAGTGAATAAAAGTAGAGGGATGGCATGAGCGCAAGGTCGGCATATCGGAATTCCGTGCTCGGTCAGAGCTCTCACACTCTAGTGTACGTCAATGCTCTAAGAGAGTGATGTTGCAGATGGTTGAGTGTCCATGGCATTAGCCTGGGATTGCAAATAGGCCATAGTAAAACGGTCGTAATCAGGCTGCTCATGATCGGCTGCGACTATCTCAGTACCCGCAAAAGCCACACACACACACAGGCCTGCTCATCGGGTAAGGGGGGAGATCGAGAGCTCTGGTACTAGAGGCCGTTGGCTGCGACTTGAATCGCGCAATAGCGACGGTGCACCAGGCAAGAGTCGACGAGCAGGTAGCGGGGCTCTAGAGTATGTCGGCGACGATAACGCCACGGGAGATCTGAGTTCACAGGTGGAGACAGCTGATGGCGGGTTGCGATGGGGGGTTTGATCGTCTGTGACACCCCCGGCGTCTGTCCACTAGGTGTACTGACGCCTTGAGGAAGGTTCTAAACGTGGCCAGGACGCAGATAGAAGGGTGTAGCAGAAGCATTTCGACGTAGTACTAACCCGAATCGAGGGGCAGGGTTCCGTCCGACCGCCTCAGTGGGATGGATGTCGTGTTTCACAGTTGCCGTATGGCGTGAATAAACAAATCGACTTGGGGCGACGAGCAGAGTACCCAGGCTTGGCGCGGGGCACGTGACGCCGCCCACCTCCACGGCTCCACAGCTGCCCCATCCCAAAACTTTGTCTGTCCGCGCAAACACCCATCTTCCAAACACCGACCAGTGCGTCGAGCACATTTGAATTGCGCAACCAATGCCTTGAGCATCCGCGCTGATGGCGTTGTACGCCAGGGACCTCGACCTAGCGCCCAGGTGGGGCGGTACGGCCATCCACTGCCCCGTATGACAGTCGGGGGTTCCCATACAAGCTAAAGGCAGCTAACGTCAGTCGGGAAAGTTACAGTCAACTTTACGTCCGGGCGGAACTACAGATTACCTAAGGTACTTCGCAGCCCGGGCGTGCAATTCGCGGGTGTCCTCTGATGAGCTTATTCGCCTTTTCCCATGATTGGCGCTCCGAGGAGGGCTTCATATGCGGTCCCGTCAACGCCCCGGGAAGAAGCGTCGACCGCCACGACGCCGGCCAGTGTTAGATGCAATAGCGCAAATCTGCAACCACGTGTGGTTGTACGGGACACCGAGGGCCGCGCTCGACACTACGCTGCCACACCAAGACGAGAGGCAAGCCACGATAAGCCTGCAGGCGATGATCCTCACTGGGATTCCCGACCAGGCCTGCCTCATTCTTGTGCCTGTCAGAGGGGTCGAACGCGCACACCACTGTCGAAACAAAGTGGCAATGTTTCGACAGCCTCATGCGACTCCAACCACGCGCTGGAAACGTGTGTCAGAGCCGTGCCAGAATCGCTGAGCGCCGTTGACCCTCCCTCATGGCCCACCGCCCCATTCAGTGCGTGGTTCTGGAGAGCTACCATGGCGATCTATGTTTCGCCCAATCGAGCGTGGCTTGGGCGGCCTCGATGGGACGACCCCCACACTGCACATGAGACGGCGACGCCATGGGTCTGTTCACACCTGGGACAGTACCCCGGTTCTGCCCTGAGGCTACATCCTGGTCGCATGTCGTGCCCCGTAACCCCCCCATAGCGCCCCCTGCCGGTCAGCTCTGCACTAGAACCACCATCCACCACTGCTTGGCCTGCATGCGAGAGCGATGTTCCTTGTCTCTCCTGCTGCAAGCATGTCCGCTCCAGTCTCTAGGCCACACGGGCTCCACAACAATCACCATCCTTGCTTTGCGGGATGCTCACAGGTGGTAGTGGCCCTTCATATGTAAAGACCAAAAGGCTCCCCAATCCCAACCAGATCGATCGAACAAATCTACAATACTCCCACGTCATCCGATCTTGTATCTCCATCTCATCACCCTGTTGCCGTCTTGATACCCTCTTTTTTTTCAAAAAAGCTTCCGGCCCAAGCCGTACTTACCACCTTCTCTCCTGCTTTGTCCCCGCCCGTCTCATCCGCGGACTATACCATCAGTACCTCACCGTCTACTCTGTGGTACCGGCTTCTTTCCCCTAGCATGGCCGCTGTTGTTGCACCTCATCAGTCTGGTCTTTGGCAAGAACGACGGGAACCCTCCTTTCAAATGCCCAACATGCACAGCTCTAGCATGATCCCTCAGTACGACACTTCGCGCGCCGCCACCAGCGCGCCAGTCTCGCGGAGCTTCCAGCCCACTTCTACACAAATGGACATGAGCATGCCTCTCTACCCTTCCAATACCCACGCGACCACTGTCGCCTCCTACCAGCAGCCGGGACCATTTGGATACGAACCTGCGCCGAACCCATATACTATGCAACAGCCGTCATACTACCAGTCGAGTATCCCACACCCCGTGTCTTACCCGCCATCGACCGATGTTCAGCAACTTCCAACAGTACGAGATGGTCGAAGTCTCTTCAACCCTCTGGTCAAGGCCGAAAGCACATCGCCTCTTCAGTCGAACCCGATCTATGGCGAAACATCTTACCCATCCGATGCTAAGCGTTCTAACTCCGTCCCGACAGAAGGCACTTCTGTTCACTTCTCGACCGACGTAGACACTCTGATGAAGGCCATCCAAGCAAAACAGACCACCCCTTCCGAGCCAGTGGAGCCCAAGGTACGCAATCCGCACCGTTTAAAAGTATATTGTTTAACCAGAAAGCAGGAGGACGCCACCAAGCCTTCTCAAAAACCTCGCAAGCGCTACCAATGTACTGTCCCTAACTGCAACAAGAGCTTCTACCAGAAGACTCATCTCGAAATCCACATCCGCGCTCACACTGGAGCCAAGCCATTTGTAAGGCTATTGCCTCGTTCAAACATTTGCATCGATCTGACCTCGACTGTAGAACTGCAAGGCACCAGGTTGCGGACAGTCATTCTCGCAATTAGGTAACCTCAAGGTGAGCTCTTCCATTGCCACCTATCCATGTAGCATACTAACATGGTCAGACACACGAGCGACGACATACTGGCGAGCGACCCTACAGTTGCGATATCTGTGGCAAAACCTTTGCTCAGCGGGGCAATGTACGAGCACACAAGATTGTGCACCAACAGATCAAGCCCTTCACCTGCAAGCTTGACGACTGTGGCAAGCAATTTACTCAGCTCGGTAACCTCAAGGTGTGTACTGCTGCGAAACGCCTCGATCCTGCGATCAGACACTAACAAAAACGCAGTCACACCAGAACAAGTTCCACGCCACTACCCTCAGATACCTCACGACAAAGTTCGCAACTATCAGCATGGGTGACTGGGTGTCCAAAGAAGACAAGGAGCTCTGGGAGTACTTTGCATCTCTATACAAGAACTCCAACAAGGGCATCAAAGGTCGTGGCAAGGACAGGCGCATCTCAGCCATGTCGTCCGCCTCGTCTTATCCTTCATCGTACCCCGCTATGCCAATGGCCTCGATGTCCCGAAGCTATGGTGGATCTTTCCACCATAGCAGCGAACGCAGCAGTCGAAGCTCCTCCATGTCATCCGATACCATCCAGCGAGTAGACAGCGCATACGATTTCAACGTTCCCATGCCAACAAGCTTCCATCATCAACCTCAAGCCAATGGATACGACGAGATGGGGGGGTTCCGGTAGAGCAAGCTATACTAAACACTTCCTCGACACGGTCGTCGACTTTTCCTATGGGCTAGGGGGGTTCTTGGGCACGGTTCGGGCGTTATGGGACATCGGCGCTGGTTTACAGTTGGGATTTGAGGCAACGGGTGATCAGTACCCCAGCTAGCGCAGCAAAGGGCACTGCCTTTCATTTCACATTGGTCTTTAGACGGTAGTCTCATGGCATCGCTACGCATTAACAGTAATGTCTTTCACGCATTTCCATGTATCCTTATGCGCTAACCGCAACCAAAAAAATCATGTATACGTATCAGAGCTAAGGGATTTGCTGTTTGTAGCAGCGTGTACGCGCTGAACATTGTATCAATAGTTTCACAAGTAGGATAGCAATCAACTTTGGGTCGAACAAGATACCCTGTAAACTGTTTGGTCTGGTGGTGCGCCCCAGTCGCGAGACTGGGGGTCCAGATGTTGCGTTGTGCAAAGACACTCACCGCTTGATGAGCAGTAGTGAGCTAAAGCCTACATACATACATTGCGCATGCTTGCTGCAAGACAATCCTTCGACCTCACCACAGCTGACTTCCAGTCGCCACACACCACATCGCTTCAAGGGGGGGGGGGGCATATGCACTTACGATGTCGACAACGGGAAGCGAGGTGGGCCCGGGGAGTTTAATTGTAGGGGGAGAGGGGAGGGGGGTGACAGGATCAGTGACCTTGGGTACAAGAGTCCGGATTGCTGAGGGGACTGGACAGCGACAGGACAGTTTGCCGCGATGAAGTCGGCCAGTATAGGTATGTGATTGGATGACGGTGTGTCCGCCTGTTCCGCGACTAAGAAGCAGCCTTGATATGGAGAGTCACGTAGCGCAAGTTACATGGCAGTGCCTGACAAAGCCGCACAAAACGACCGGGTGGTCAAACCTTGCGTGGGTAACTTTGCAAAATCTGAGCAGCTCAGCAGCAGTGCGGATGCAGTCATCCGGCCAGGTAGCAGAGAGGCTGATGATAAAAGACACTGACTAGTAATCTCGTAAGGCTGGTAGCGAGGGGACTTGAGTTAGAGGATTCCGTCTCCGCCCAGAGTTGCGTCGCAGAACCTGGCATCAGTGAGCCTGTTGAGCGCTCATTGGCCCGGCAGAAAGAGATGCTCATCCCGCACTCCCGGTGACAGCCAGATCTCAGACTAGTCCGCTTCTTGCCTCCGGTTTCAGGCGGACATGTACAAGCATGTCGATGGAGTCTTGCCAAAACGGCCACTCCAAACTGCGGCCAATGACTAAGTCTTACACTCGATATGCTCCGGGGCGCCGTGGAAAAGTATGCTTCCCCCCACCTCCCCTGGTCGAGCAAGAGGCAAAAAGGAGGGTTCGATGTTGCCATCGCGCGGACCATCATCTTCAAGATACGTCACGTTGGCGTTGTTATCTCTGGACCATGACGTTGGGAAACGTGATGACGATGCAAACGCCCAAGGGATTTGGGTCAAAAGCCTCACTTTTTCTTATTTTAGCTTCGAGGCCAACTGTTCGCGACCAAGGCCACGAAGCCACCGACAAAAGTCGCTCGTCGAATTGACACTTGACGCTTGACATTTGACACCTTGGCCCCTCCTAGCCATGATCAGCATCCGTACTAGCTGTCGATCTCTTTTGTCTACGCAGGTCCAGAGCCTTTTGCTCCCTGAGAGATGACGTCGTCATCTGCGCCATCCCAGCCAGTCGCCAGGCTGGGCATGGGGCGGGTGGGAATTTTTCCGCCTTTGGCAAGATAGATGGCCATGAGTCGGGGTTGCTCAGCCCATCCAGCAATCACAGGTACGTACATAGCTACACATGCCTACATACAATAAAACGGATAGCGAGCAAAGTTTGGACCCGCTGTGGGGGCACTGGGGCCGGCGATTCAGAGGCACCACTAAGAATCCTCCTGGCCTATAGTCTAAAGTATGCTCTACCGAAATCCTACTAGTCGTCAGCCTCCTTCTACCCATGTCCTTGCCCAACCTCACAAAAGTTACGCAAACCGGACGCGAAAGATATGCCTCAACCCGCCTCATGTACCAAACGGGCTTCGTGATGATATTTGCTCTGACTTGGTTTACTGGTGGGGTGTGGGGGGTGGAATTGATTACGATATTGCGCGGCTCGGCAGAATCACGTATGTTGCATTACCCCAACCAACTGTCACTGTTGGCCATCTATACGCCACCTCGTGTCTCTCTCCTTCACTTCCTCACCTTCGTCCTTCCCTTACTACACACGCCTGATTGCGGTATACGGTACGAATAAACGCGCGTCCCCCGCCCTCTGCTAATTCGCCACGATTTTCCGGTAGTTTTCCTCTAGGTCGTGCTGAAGCTCCGCAGCGGGCCGCTGTCGCAACCGCCCGCAAAGGTCGCCGGCAGCGCACATGCCGTCTGGGCCAGTGTCAATCATCAACGCTTTTGTAGACAAAGTCGCCGTTGGCCTCGTCTGAATGCTAGCCTTTGGCCTGCGCATCCCTGGCCGTTTGGTTACTTGAAACCCTTTGATTGCGGCTTACCAATTTGTCGGGCTCTCATTTCGCCCTGTCCCGTACCGGACCTACCTAATCCACCTGAAGGAGGGCCATCCGAGTCAGGGGAGGTTTGGCCCTGGGTACCTGTGAGAAAAGCCCAAGCCTTACTCGTGACCGCGGGCCTCACTCCGTCGACTAGGTATTTGAGTCGTGCCCAGGCGGGGCAGAACGGAGACCGAATGCGCTGAAGGCGAATGCGAACAAAAGGTGGGTCAAGTCAATCTCGAATAGGCCACGCAAACATCGCCAGTGTCAAAGTATGCAAACCAGTTTGGTCGTCACCAGAACTCCGCATTGTGAACGCATTGCGCAGCTGGGAACAGCTGCTCCATGCGTTGTGCGCCGTTCAGAAAACATGCACCGCTTGCAATTCAAAAGCTTTCCTCGCAGCATTCGATCCATCACCGATCGTCCCGATCCTAGCAGCACCCCGGCCCCAGCTACCAATACTCTACTGTACTCTTCTGCAGTTCCTTCTTGTTTGGACGTTGACTACTACACCGTGTTGGTACCCGTTCCTCGGTTCATGACTCTGCAACTCCACTCTCGCGCTGCGAACCTGTGGCCTGAAACCTACGTCAAAAGTCACACGACGCCCATCACCTTGCCAAATCGGCCACCTTTGGACTCTTGAATTAATTGCAGGCACCGCATGCAATGTCGTTGTGCAGTACTTGCCCGGAGAATTTCCCGCACAATGCAGGGTTTGTATGGCGGCGGAACAATATCTCCTATGCATACTCGTTGCAGCATGCCAAACCGTAAATGACAAGAGCCTTGAAGAATGTAGAAACAAGACCGTGCGCTATGGAGGCATCGTGATTGTCTTGGGTCGGCGAGGTGATGATCGTGGTCTGATTCACAAGCGCACACATTATGCTCTCGACCATCTTGGTACCGACCTCCACCTCACTGTCTATGCACGTCTCACTTTGACAGTAAAGAAAACCTCCACTTCGACCCTGCCAAATTCCTTGCTACTTAACCAAGTGTACGCCGTGCACGTGGGCTGTGTGTAACCACTTTTCCCGCTTGGGACGAGCCATAGCCGTTTTGGGACCGACGTGCAGTCGTGCGACTGCTTCATCCAACATGTCAGACTCGGAGGTTCATCAGGTCCAAGCTACACCACTTCTGGACTCCAGCCCAACGTTAATTGAGTCACAGGCATAGATGCGTCATGCATCCATTTCCCTTCTTCACTGTTACGTTATCGCGTATGCGCTTTGCATCTCGCACTCGCATCTCCCAAAAAAATTGAAGTCGAGTTTATTGCTTCGGCCAAGTCCGCCAGTGACATTCTCTATAGTTCCAAATACCTCCAGTCGCAATGCCCGACCTTCCTAGCAAGAATGGTGGCGGTCACACAACATCTGATAGCACGCCTGATGAATAAATTCAGGTACCTGTGAAGCAGGAGAACATCGGAACTAGTCTACACATGAAACAAGTGGCATGTACCTGCAGCACCTGTATAAATGAGCATGTGCCTGTCTGACAGTGGGTTTTCGTGGAATGATGGGAGCCGGGGCGTGGTGTGACTGTGATCGAGGCCTGCATATGACACAGAAAAGAACGGGAAGCCTGAAAACTCAAATGCAAAACTGTGGCTCAGCAGCGAGAACAAGATAGGGGACAAGAGAACTGCGACTTGGCGAGAACGTGAGTGGAGTTGCTTTGGCGAAGTTTGACATTGATGATGACGAAGGACTGATAGACCTACCGCCGACTGGCGCGAGAGTCCATCGGCCGCTGCTACCAATGGCTGACTATGAATCTGAAGGCGGTTTTGTGCATACAGACGTCATCATTCCTCTCGACATGACAGTCACGTGGAAGAACACAGGTGACAGTGCGCACCTCTACAATCGTCACTGCAACATTGAACCCACGCGTTAACCGCAACACCTCGAATTCCCCTCATGACCTTGTTCGATTCTTCTGACGCTGTCCAATGCCCAAATACACGGTAAGCTTATCACGTCATACTCATGACAGACAGGTCTTTCAGGCACCACATGGTACCGGCCGCGCTTTCGAGCACAAGGAGCATGCATGAGCGGAACTTTCCATGGGTATCTCCAAGACCAATACCCTTACCCTTGGTGCTCTGTGTTCTGCAACCTCTACGTCTCTTCTTGCTGATACATCTGCTCTGCGTCGATTCTGCCGCAGCATCATGACGGCACGCTCACCCGATACACGATACACGACGACATGAGACGACCATATCGCTGTACAAGAATGCATCAAAATGCCAGCACTTCATACATCCGTATACGTGGACCGTACATAAGATATGTGATGACAGGAGTTGCATCGCATACGTGGTTATCATCACCGTTCGGTCGAATACAACGCCCAAGCATGATCCCTAACAACCAGCATATACGAAATCAGCAGACCTGTTACAATGTGCTACGGTAGATGCGTTGTCTTGCTCAGGCTGCCGAGGACAAGCTGCAATCCCATGGTACGAGTGCACAGGGGCAACATCTTACTACCTCGGGAAAGAGCCGTATGCCACTCTTGAGGCAAAAGGAAAAGGAAAAAGGTAGCAAATCACATCCTAAAAGATACATGGCGAAACATGACTGGATAAAACTGGATATTTGAACAGACCAGGTACCCTTCCTATGTCTTGGGCTCCGCGGAACTCTTTTCCGCAACGACTGTAGATCACAATGGGCGCCACACCAGCTCACTAGAGCAAAGCGCACATGTACAATCCGCAGGTCTTCGGGTATGTACTCGTGCGTGTGGGTGTGTGTGGGTGTGGAGAAGATAGCGATGATGACACGCTGCATGCGCGTTGACATGCAGTAACTAAGCATGTATGTACATGTAGATGTATGTAGCAGCGGGGAAGAAGGGATCCACGCTGTGTATACAAGGCTCACTGCAGAAAATTCCGTTGCTCGCAAATCGACTGCATTCCATTCGTCTACCACTGCCAATACCTGCATCCCTTACCCTACGAAAACGCGATTTGCCCACACGAGCTGCAGGCAAGGAATCCTCACCGGACGAGATCTTCACTGCGACGTTTCCTGTCAAAACTGTCCCTGTTTGCTGCATACCACACACCTTTGCGCTTTTCCCCCCTGTTTAGAGTTTGTGGCTAGGGTACGTACATAGGACGTACATGCTACAGCTGACCCTGATCCAGAAACTTTATTCCAAGATGAACAAGTCTGATCCTTACAAAGACAAGGCAAGAAAAGAATAGCCTCCTTTTCCCACTTCCCCCCCCACACACACACACCTTGCGATCGGTACCGCCGATGGCCACCTGACCCTCGGAACAAAGTCCCTCGATTGCCCTGCCAGCCGCCTGAGATGTCCAAAGAATAGCGTAGACAAAGCCCGTAGACAAAGCCGAGTGGCCCCATGATCGCTGCGATGCTGTTGGTCACCAAGTTTTCCAATTTCCCTATTTGTATTATCGCCACTACCAGGCCCGTGAATCCATGGTACCGCTCGCCTGGGTCCCTTTTTTAACCAGTCCGGTAGTCAAAGGCCAAAAAAAGGCCTTTTTCTTGTTGCGCATGTACATATGGGACGTAGGATGCAAGCAAGCGCTTCGTACTTAGCTATCGCTTACACATGTGTGTATGTACGTCCTTGCCCTTTACCCGTACCAACCGCCTCGCTTAATACGTAGCGTAGCTTTCTTCCCACCCTCCTTCCCCCCCCTCTCCCCTTCGCCCATTCCCCACCGCCGCGTTTCCCCCCGCCGCCGGCTGCCCAACCCCCCTGCTGAGCTGAACTCTCTGTTCAACAGTTCCAACAGCCCCTAGCACGGCGGCCGCGCTTAGCGGCACGCCTCGGCACATTGATGCGACGAGCCTGGGTACAACCGGCCAACCAAGGACGTGAACAAGTTTTGTTTGGTAGCCTAACGTTATAGCTGCATGCTTTGCATGCTGTGCTTGCTTGAATGCATGTCTGCGTGCTTTGCGCGCCCCCACTATCTCTCTCTCCCTCCCTCCCTCTCTCTGCTCCTCTACTAGCGGTGAAAAGGTTTACCCTCCATCTTCGACTCTTTCCGATCTACGTACCAGAAATTTGCAAGTGCCTGAAAATGACGGCATCTGATTGGATGCCATCGTCATGGTGGTGTGGGGATAAGACAAGAAAAGCATCATTGGTTCATTTTTGCTTTTTCCCTTCTCCTTCTCCTTCTTCTTCTTCTTCTTCTTCTTCTTGTTCTGCGTCTCGCTTTCGCCTCTTTCCCATTTTAGCATTCGCGCGACAGGCGTTTGTGGCGGAGAGAACTGGGCTGTTGGAGCCAAGTCCCTCTCTAGGTTTCTTTTCTGTGGGGATGAGACGAACGAAGTGGTTTGCGTTTGGCAAGGCCTTCACGTGAAGTAACTGTGTTGCTGTTACATCTAATCTCAACCTCCCTTGTTTATCTATTTGTTTTTGTTTTTGTTTTTGCGCTCTTTTACAAAGTAGAGTAGCATAGGTACTTCGGTACCGAACTAAGGATCATGCTTGTTACATTTCCCAACTTGCATCTTACATGATATCACCTGTTTCTTCCTTCGTTGTCCTCGCATGTATTCACCGCTGATATGCACGGCGTCGTGCCAGACCACATGACCAGGAGCTTTCGGCTCTACATTACACACACATACGAAATTCTTACCGCGCCATTTTTGTTGTTTTATGGCTTGTTGAGATGGGTGTGTGGGTTTCTCGCTATTGTAAATGTCTTTTGATTGTTTGGTTTTCAACGCGCGCGCAAACTGGCGGTGTAAAAGGTCCATGTTCAATGGTTCGCTACGGGATGTGGTTGGGCGTCGTTCATCGGTAAGGCGCATGCTGGGGCGCATAATGTTGCTGCAAGGAATACATACGTATGTGTATATGTATGTGTATATGTATGTGTATATGTATGTACACCTGTGTATGCAAGTGTCTTGCAGGGACCATGGTGTTTGGAGTTTGGTGGGGGAGGTGGAACTGGTGTGTCCGGTGAGTAGGATGTTTGCGGTATTATTCAGTTGTGGAGAAGACGGTGTAGCGGTATGCCACGCGGTGTGGAGAGAGTGGGTGGCGGGTAGTGCATTGAGGTATGCGGGTAAGGCGAGGCTGGTGGAGTATGGGTTTTGGGTATGGCTTTCTCATAGGCATGTGATTATGTGGGAAAGTGGAGGTAGAGTACGATTTCGGGACAAGCCGTAAATGGGGATTTGGTTGGTGATATGATCTCTTAATTTATTTGCTTTTGTGATTAGTGCTTTTTTAGTTGTTGGATCAAGTATGGAGAAGAAAAGAGAGGAATTGTTCTTTACATGATATCTCTGGCGAATGATAGGCCGTACATTCTCTACATACAAAACATTGTAAACCTGCGTTAACATGCGTATTGTACGTCTGCGGACTTGTCTTACTATTTCTGTGTCTTGAGAATACACGCAAAGAAGCGTCGATTTTGACATAGTGATCGCGAATTTCTTGTCGTGTGAAGAACGTGGGCTATATATCGTCACATATATCGCATTTAGGATAGTCATGTAGTCATCTGGACTTATGCTCTTGTATGTACGGAACTACATCAATGAAGGAGAAAAGAACATAATCATGGCTTCTCACTGTCATCTTCATCCTTGCAATATTGTTGCGATGGCTCCTTCACTTTATCATTTCATACTTCACAACCATGCAGCACAAACACCGCATGTAACACCCTTCACTTCTCGACAGCATACCCTCCAGCTCCTATATCCATTAAATATTCCATACTCCTTCAATATGGCCATGCAATTCCGATTTGAGACGACCAAATTGGCCGTGAACACGTTGCCCTTGTCTTTCACATTTAATCCAAGACCTATTTTTCTCACCAGAAATCCCATCACCACATGTCACTATCCTCCTCTTCATCACCCAGAATACTACGAGGATTGATTCGTTTGCTTTGCGTATCGGACACCATCCTCCCGTCTTCACTCCCCCGTTTCTTCCTGCAACATCTTCAGCATAGCATACATCCATGATTGCTAAACATCTCGGCTCATAACCCGCTCTCATGACAGTCATTGCCAAAAAAAATTGACACACAAGCAAGAAGCCCAGCACCATCCATGATAGTGAAATAGCACATAATAGAATTCGAGGGTATCATTCCACTTTCACCACCACCTCACCTCTTTCCCTTCTTCCCCTTGCCCTTCCCCTTAGCTCCTCCACCCCCAGTAATACTCCTAACATCCTTCTTACTCAAACTCAGCGTTCCCCCTCTAAACTTTCCTATACTCGGCCCACCAACACCCCTCTCCCTCTTCTTCTCCACTTTCTTGCCCGTCGACGCTTTGTTTTCCCTCTCCAGCACAATACCTGCCTCTCTAGCCTCCGCTCTGCGCTTCGCCTCCGTTGTACGTGCCTTGAGCTCCATATGTTTGCGCTGGGCCATGGGCATCTTTTTCTGAGTGAAGATGGAGCCCTTTGCGCCAAGGGATTGGAGGTGTAGGTCCATTGATTTATGGCGGTCGACACCCGTGGCGGTTAGTGTGCTGGGTGTTGAGGTTCCGGAGGAAGAGGCAGAGAGGAGGTGGGATTCTCGGAGTAGTTTCTGGAGCGCGAGATCGTTTTTGAGATTTGAGGCTTCGGTTGTGTCGGTGTCGTCGGTTTTCTTGTTTCTCTTCTGGGATGATGGGGTACTGATAGATTTCGAGGCCGAGGTAGGCGGTTTGGAGGACATGAAGGCTTTCATTTCTGCGCGCTCGGTGTCGTCAAGTTCGCGATGGGGATCATGGTATTCGACTACTTCGACGTCATTTTCGTGGTCGCTGATGCCTGACCAGTCGGACTCTTCCTCGTCTTCTTCTTCCTCATCCTCCTGTACAGGGGCCTCTTCAATCTTGGGTTTCTTGGGCTCTGTCGGGAGAGGCTTAAATTTTGCTTCGAACGCGCGCCGGAATACTGCTTGGAGATCCTCTGCACCAGAGTCGTCACTCGAGTCTGACGAAGGCGATGGTGACCGCGATTCTTGCTCGAGTTCTGCGCGTGTGACGCGTTTTCGCTTTCCAAGTGCTGGCGCCATAATTGTATCGTGAGGTGTCGTGGTTTAGCTCTGAGAAGACGGTAATGACAATGCGACGCGGTTGCGATAGAATCTCAAAAAGTTTCGAGCAAGGGACCTCACTAGCGCCAAATTCGGTTCGGACCTCCGTCTCTATGAACCCCTCCCCCGCAACACCAAGCGGAACATATCCAATTCACCTTTTTTTGATACTCGCAAACACACCATGACGCGCTTCCGTCCCTGTATCGACCTCCACGCCGGCAGCGTCAAGCAAATTGTCGGCGGCACGCTCAACACCACGACACCCGATGAACTAAAAACCAATTGGACATCCTCGCACCCCTCAGCATTCTACGCCGACCTCTACAAAAAACACGACCTGACCGGCGCACACGTCATAATGCTAGGCCCTGGTAACGATCAAGCAGCGCAAGAAGCGCTCGAGGCATGGAAAGGCGGCATGCAAGTTGGCGGTGGCATCACCGAGCAAAACGCAGCAGAGTGGATTGCCAAAGGCGCGGACAAGGTGAGCGCTATATACGCAATTGGCCAGAGGAACGGGGATTTCAGTATAGATCCTAAGGCTAATGGAACCGCAGTAGGTGATTATAACATCGTACCTTTTTCCCTCGTCAACATTCTCCATGGACCGGCTGCAAGCTGTGTTGAAGGCCCTTGGTAATGACAAATCTAAACTCGTCATTGATTTGTCGTGCCGGAGGAAAGATGATAAGTGGTTCGTTGCGACAAACAAATGGCAGACAATTACAGACTTTGAGCTGAATAAAGGTCCGATTTGAATTTTCCCTAACCGACATTCACTTGAAGCTGATGGAAAAGTACAGAGTCGATAGCCCTCCTCGAACCTCACTGCAGCGAATTCCTCATCCACGCCGCAGACGTCGAAGGCCTACAGCGAGGCATTGACCACGAACTCGTTGCAAAGCTAGCAGAGTGGTGCAGCATACCCGTCACGTATGCAGGCGGAGGCCGCTCACTCGACGACCTGGAGCTCGTAAAGAAGCTCAGCAACGGCAAGGTCGATCTGACCATTGGCAGCGCCCTCGACATTTTCGGCGGTTCCAGCGTCAGATTCGGAGACTGCGTAAAGTGGAACGCCGCACAGCAGTCGTAAAGCCAGTATGCTTCCGACTCAGAACATCTAGAGAAGACGCATCACTCATATACACGCAAATATCACTACACCAAGGGAATTTGCAAATATAATACATTCTCTTTTCTTATCACTCTAGAACCTCAAAAGACGCTGAAAGCCTCGTGGTCCACAGAAAAAGAGACGGAGGCTACAAAAGCTACCTTTGAAAAGAAACAGACAGCCTACAAGTAGCCATGCAATCAAAAACTCCATTGAAGAGAAGAAAGAGAAAAAAAACTCCCAAATTCCCCCATCCTTGCTGCTCCTCCTCCCAGTAAAACCCCCCTATAGAATCGTGTCACTCAGTCAAAGCGTACCAAAGCAGCTCCCCTTCATTCCTGTTTCCACCACCCATGAGCTTGGAAAGTGAATAAAAAAAGCAGTTTATTGCGCCCGTTCTCGTGCAAAAGAAGAAGAAAAACGTGTTCAGCGTCGTAGGATTTTGCCCGGAACACTCTGTTCTTTCCTCTGCCCTTTTTTTTGTTTTGGTTTAATTGTATGTGCTGTGTCACCCAGAGGTCCGTCTTGGCAAAAACGATACGTTCCACGCGTGTAAAGTCTCAAGGGAGAGAGGGAGTAACGACATGGAGAGAAAAGTGTAATAGAATCGGAAAAAAGCACGTTGGGATATCGAGCTGGGAACATGGGGAGGAGCTACGTGTATGAAAATTATGCCCGTTTCATCTGGGGAGGTGAGTCAGCAAATGTGTGGGAGATAAAAAAGAGTATATATTGCTCAAGTATTAACGTACCATCTTTCCTTTCAAACTCCAGCCCGCGGTGTGCCAACCGCGCTCGTCATTGCCGTGCTAGGGCCCCCTTGAACACTGCTTCCATCATCATAATCTTGCCATTCTGGATACTCTGCCGTCACCTCCTTCAGCTTGTCGAGCGCAGTCTGCTCAATGAGATTGGCATCCGCAAACAACAGTGACGTGTCCTCGTTGTAGGTCCGGCAGTTGTTGCAGAGCAAGCCCAGATCTTGACGGAACTGCTTGACAGACTGATACTCCTTCTTGTTGATCTTCTTCTCAATCTGCTTCATGCAGATGGGATTCTTGATCAGTTGGTAGTAGTCTGGATAATCCCATTTGTCTGGTAGCTCAATGAAGGGGTCGATAATGCCGCGATTTGGAATGTTGGGATCTGGCGACTCTTCTTCGAGATCGTTGAGCGCTTCGTAAATGACGTTAACAATCTTTTGAAGAGATGCTCGCTGCTCAGGCTGCAACATGTCTTTGCTAGGCGCTGGCCGTCCGCGTTTCCGTGGTGTAGGTTCAACGTCGAGTGAGGCTTCATCTGCTTTGCGCTTCTCAGCCTTTGGCTTACGGCCTCGCTTCTTGGGTGCAGGCTCCTCGGAACTGGCACGTGATGGTGCTGGCGACTCCTCATCGCCCCGCCCACCCTTGTTCCTACCCCGTTTGGCCATCTTCGCCTCCTTGCGGGCAATAGCTGCTTCTATTGAATCATCGTCGTTGTCAACAGCCTCCAGCCACTGCTCTTCCGTCAGACCGTCGTCATACTTGACCCGTGTACGCTCTCGAGCACCACGGCCAGCAGGCGTATCGTCCTTTTCGTCAACGATGGGTGCCTCTTCGTTCAGGTAGATATCTGGCAGTTCGCTCTCGCCAATCAAACGACCTAGAGGCTTACCAGGGCCGTATGGATCCTCGGCAATACGCTTTCGGTCCATTTCCTGGAATATCGCCAACTCATCCTCGTGTCGCATCATGATCTGGTTCAGGTCGTCATCGTCCATTTCCTCTTGTTCAAGGCTTTCGGCGGCTTCAGCAGATTCCAACATGATACGCAACATGGCGTCTCGTTCGTCATCTTTGGACTTGTTGTCGAATTTACCAGCTTGAATGACCTTGCCATCCATGTCCAACTTGTAGTTGGCTCGCTCGAGAATCTTCTCTTCTACCGAGTTGGACGTAATCAGACGCAGAATGCGGACCTCGTTCTTCTGACCAATACGATGGGCACGATCTTGGGCTTGCAAATCTTGATGAGGATTCCAATCTGAGTCGTAAATGATGACGGTATCAGCAGTCTGAAGATTGAGACCGAGACCACCAGCACGTGTAGATAGTAGGAAACAGAAGTAGGGCGAATCGGGCGCGTTGAACAGCCTCAGCAAGTCTGAACGATCGTCTGCTTTTGTCGCACCGTCCAACCGCAGATATTGCATGCCCCTAAGCCGTAGGTAATCCTCCATGATGTTCATGATCTGCGTCATCTGGAAGAACATGAGAACACGATGACCGGTGGCCTGGAACTTGGGCAAGATTCGATCCAAAAGCTCAAATTTACCAGCTGAACGCCACAGGAGATCATTAGTGCCTTTTGTGGGGTTCATGACATCCTCAACCTCCTCAAAGACGAAAGGATGGTTGCAGAGCTTTCGCAGCTGCATAAGCATATTGCTCAAACCACGCATACCAGTCTTTCCACCTTTGCCATCGCTGACCATGAGGCGGTTGTGAGTGACGAGTTGCTTGTACAGCTTCGCTTGAAGGGTGGAGAAGTTGCACTTGATCACACGTTCGGTCTTGTCCGGGAGGTCCTTCTCGACATCGCGCTTCAGACGTCGGAGCAAGAAAGGCCTAAGAACCTTGTGCAGACGACGAATAACGAGCAGCTGCTCTTCTTCGGTGAGCTCCATCTTATCTTGACCTCCGGTATTTGCAAATGGCGTGTTGAACCACTCGTCGAACGACGTAGCCGACTTGAAGATGGTAGGAAGAACGAAGTTGAGCATAGCCCAAAGTTCAGTGAGGTTGTTCTGCAGGGGCGTACCTGTCAGAATGAGTCGATACCGCGTTGAGTAGTATTGTGTGATGGTCATGCTGAGCTTGGAACCAGCGTTCTTCATACGGTGACCTTCGTCGACAATCATGTGAACCCACTTGATCTTGCTGAGAATTGGTCTGTCCTTGATGATAAACTCGTACGTGGTGAGCAGCACCTGAAACTGACCCCAACGAATCTGTTGCTGGTACTGCTTACGCGCGTTCGGAGGACCCTTGTACACGATCTTACTAACGCTTGGCGCCCACTTCTCGAACTCGTTGGTCCAGTTGGTAAGCGTACTCAAGGGAACAATAACAAGGTAAGGGCCAGGTTGTCGCTTCTTCTCGATCAGGTATGTGATCAAACTGATTGTCTGAATGGTTTTTCCGAGACCCATTTCGTCTGCAAGAATACCATTCAAGTTGTTGTTGTACAGGGATATCATCCACTGTAGACCCTTGAGTTGGTATTCCTTGAGTGTACCTCCGACCAGGTTGGTGGCCTGTTCAGTGACCTCCTCCTTGATGCGGTGAGCAATCTCGTAGTAGTCAGTCTTTCTCTTGCCCGGTCGGTCTTCGTCGTCGGACTCGTCACTGCTGCTCTCCTCCTCAGGCTCGTAGGAGTTGTTTGCAGATCGCTGCTGTGCCTTGACAGAGTTTGCAAGCTGCTTCAAGAATCCATCGGTCTGCTTGAGAAGGTGCGAAATACGAGTATCCTTGGCTTGGCCCAAGAGTTTGAGGTAAGTCTCTTCGTCGTTGGACTTGAGCGCCTGCAGACGCTGCTTGGCTGTTCGCTCGATACGCTTCTGTTCTTCCTTCTCGATGTTCTGGTGGGTCGAAACCATGGTACGGCCGAGCTTCTGCAGACGCATTCGCTGAGCCGCGCCAGATTCTTGTAGTTCGGTGCGATGCTTCCGGATGGCATCGATGAACTCGTGGTGCTTCTTCTTTTCCTTGGTCTCACGCGCATCGCGTTGCTGCTTCTCGAGCTTCTCGGTGAGACGGGCTTCGCGCATCGATTGCTTCTTGAGGCGGCGGTAAACGGTTCGGTTAGCAGTCATGGCGAGGTTGTCGGCGTGAATCATTTGCTGGGCGATTTCTCTGCGCAATTTGCGTTGCTTCTCAAGCAGGTTCAGTTTCTTCTGCTCAATAACAAGAGCCAACTTGACCTTTCCGTCATCTTCGGGAGTGTCGGTCTTGCTAGTATCCCATGAGCCGATGTTTGCATGCATCTTCTCCAATTCTGCTTTTCTCGCCGTGAGGCGGTTGTAGAGAAGGATCTCGCGCTCCTTGCGCAATTCTTCCATGCTCTGCTGTACGGCATTGATGTCGACGCCTTGTGGCATAATTGTCGCAAGGTAGGGTCGGTTCTTGCGTTGCGTGTGGGAGATGTAGTTTACGTCCCGGAAGACTTCGCTACTCCAGGGGTCTATGAAGGTATCCGGAAGACGAGGAAGGGTACGAGTCTCTTGCACAGCGCCACCCACAGCACTTGAGGTGCTGCCGGCGCGGGTCGCGTTGTCGAGCATCTGAGAAGCAGCTGCCACGGCTTCAGCGGCATTCTGAGGTTTCTTTGTCTGGTGGTGGCCAAAGATTTGTTGCTGCATATTTGAAGGCAGAGGGAGACCCTTGGAGAGATGTTTGAAGGCTCCAATCTGAGCACGTAGCATCAGCAGCTGATCTTTGGACAGTGCCATCGAAGCATTGTTGGCCGATGTAGGTGTGTGTCCATCAACTGAAGGAGCCTGTCCTCCAGCAGTTGCAATCTGCATTGTAGACGTTGGTCCGGTTGAGTTTGGTGCAGATACGGCAGGTTTTCCGTCAACAGGCGCAACTGGCTTTGCACCATTAAGCATGCCCGTGGCAGCGCCGTTTTGTAGCAGAGCCTGTGGATCCACCTGGCCTTGCTGACGCTGCTGCATCTGCTGTTGTCGGAGCATCTTCTGTTGCTGCTGATACTGATTCTGCTTCTGAACCATTGTGAGGAGGTTGCGCGCCTTGATGAACTCGGGATTGGATTCGGAGACGCCTTGTTGCTTCATCGCAGTGTAACGCTAGAGACGGTGTTAGCAAAGCCGACATGCGGGTGAGAATGGGTATGAGAGTGTGATGGCTGGTGGACTCGAGCTGTCGCGGGTGAAGTACGTACCTGGAAGACATGCTGAATCTGCTCGCGGGTGATGTTTGCCGGGAGCTGGCCCTGGCCGGGCATCTCAGGGTTAGTCTGGACTGAAGCCATGGTGGGCTGCGGTCACGGTGTTTGTGCAGATGCGCAATCGAGGGTTGACGACAAGATGTCAGGTCTGAGACGCGGTCGCCGCACGTGGTCTGGGCGCCGGAGCTCGCGCAAGTATGAGGGAACGACAGTCGAGGGGTGTGTTGTGGCGCGTGTAGCGGTGTTCTATGACATTATCGGGGGGAGTGGTGGTGAGAGAAGCCCTTTTGAGGATGAGGCCGATGAGAGACTCTCGGGAGTCCGCCCGTCGCAGAGTCGCGTCGTTCCAGGAGGCTGAAGCGGAGCGCGCAATTTGCGAGTGGCGGGTGGCAGGGGCGCGGGCGCACTCAAAAAGGGCCAGAGACCGCAGTACGCGTCAGGAACAGCGTGTTGCGGGGATGGAGAGATGCGGGCGCAAGTCTTGGTGATATCGGGATGGGTGGTGAACGTCTGCGAGGTCTCTCTAGCCTGAGCGTTTGTCCGCGCGCAAAGGGAGTTAGCGGCTTGGCGGGGTCATGTGATAAGGATGCGAGTGGGCGTGGCGGCTGTATGGTGAGGGTGTCGTCGCTGCGACTCTTCGACTTGATTTCAATCGCCCTGTTCACGCTCACGCTCACTGCACGTCGGGATTGTGGGGTTGAAGACAAACAACGCGCTTGACGTGGGCTAGTGCCGAAATGAGCCACCGCTTCGGAGGCGCAAGGAACGAGTGGAGTGCCACGTCCACGACCCCTCCAAACTTGTTACCACACGGCCCAGCCGAACATCAAACTCTTCGTTCCACGCTCCACTGACCTGGTGGTAAGAGCATATCTACTCACAGGGGCCCTTGCACGCTTCCTGCGTGCCCTCGTCCTCTATCACACTCCTTATAGTCACTTCACCAGCCAGATGAGCCTTGGTGGTGAGATCTCAAAATCTGCCCTGCGCGACAGCGTGACACACCGTGTGCATCACCGTCCATTCCTTCATCAAAATATATCGCCTGAGCATACAAAAACGCGACTTTTGGTTTTTTTGATACCCTTTCCCTCCTCTGTCGTCAGGTGGCGTTTGCCAAGAAATGCTGCTTATCCCACACTCCCGATATTGCAGCTGACCAAGCTCTCGGCACCCAGTATTTGGCTGTGGGAAGAATGTTGTTAACTTTGCGAAAATGGCCATTAAATTCTGGACTGATCTACATGAATACATTCATATCCCCAGCCTCAGCCATAGCCATCCGAATTCACATCCGTGCATCCTAAGTGAGCGTAGGTGTGGTCCAGTCGATGTATGTCGCAACATCGGCACCGGACGGGCCCTTTTCGATATTAGTATTGGCACTCTGGTTTAACAGAAATTTGTTTATAAAGGCAGTCAGATCAGCCTGCTGGTTGGATGGAAACTGGCAGTGGTTGTGGTTGCCAGAGCCTGTGAAACCCATGTTGTCCGGTACACCAAGAGCCCTGTAGATGAGGCGACCAGCCTTCATGCAAGCCGTTGTCGCAACCGGGCCCAGCCAATCGATTTCGTTCTCTATAACGAGCAGGCCGCGAGGAGCAACCATACCTGCAAGCTGATGGTGGTCGGTAGCGAGTGTGTTGGACCGTGTGCTAAATGCATTGAATCTGGGAGAGAACCAAACATTCTCGGTGACAATCTGGCCAGATGTCTGGATGTTCTTGCCCTTGGCCTTCTCCGAGTCAGAAATGCGCCAACAGGCAGCACCGCCAGATCCGGATTCTTGAGGTAGCCCGAGTGCGATACGGTCAACGAGGGCGGCGGCAACAAATGCACCCTTGCCGTTCCGGGAGCATCCAGTAACCCCGACGCGCTTGGGGTCAATGCCGGCACCAGGAGTCGCCTCGAGAGCATCTATGATACGATCGACACCCCAGGCCCAGGCAGTAAGAGCACCTGCACTGTGGCTGGAGCCGTACATATCATAAAATTTGCCTTTTCCACGACTGCTTTGACTCTGCTGCTGAGCGATCTCATCGTTGTTGAAGGTGATGGTAGCGACCTGGCTGGGGATGGGGATACTGGGAGCGCCATAGGCGATAATGGCGGGGAAGGGACCACTTCCACTGGGTTTCTTGATTGAGACAGAGAACGAGACGGATTTTCCGCCCTCACTTGATGTGATAGAGAGGGATGTTCCTGAGAAGCTAGCAGTGACAGTCGAAGGCTTCTTGGGGAAATCACCAAGCTCTTGGTTCTGCAAGGCTGCACTGACTTCTTTGTTCTTGCACGCAAAGTCTTCTTTTGTGACAACAGATCTTCCGTCGAAGAACTTGAAGGGATTCGGCAGTTTGGAGTTGGCGGTGCTAGGAAAAGTCGATGGGACGGCGCATGTTGCCTCTTGGCGTTGCTGAAGCAGAGGCGTGACAAGGACGGCACTAGAAAGGAGTGAGAGGGCGATTGAGTACTTCATATTGAATTCTGAGGGTGCTCAAGACAGGTTTTCTCTGGACGCAGGCATTTTCGAGAGCCTCTGTCTATTATATATTGACTATTCGCTCCACAAACACTCCACATCCCCGCAGGAAGTTGATGATTTTAAACGAAGCGATAGAAATGAGCAGATCATGCACAGTTAATACGATGTAATTAAGAATACACGTCTCGTTGCCTGTCCATGGCGATTTTTACTGTCGCGTAAATGCGAAACCGTGGTAGGTGACATGGGGGGAAGCCTGGGTGCGAGTTGTGCAGGATCTGTCTCTTGAATGATGGAAAAACCAACAACGCCATCTATATCTGCAGTCTTCCATTGGAATGTAAAAACTCCCTTGAGCCGTGAGGGGGGCGGACTTGCACTTTAGCATCCTTGGCTAACAGTTTTCCCGAAAGGGAAGTGTCTCCACTTGACATGTTCTCAGATGCGGGTGTTGAAGACCTATGTAGATAGCATGCATTTTGCATAATGCCCCTCCAGGGTTCAGAAAATGGGGTAACACCATAGCAATAGAATGGTGCTTTATTGGGTACAGAATGTGACAGGTACTCTACTGATCCTGGCTCGACCCGAAGAGATGATGGATATCATGACGCTGGTTCTCCATGGCCTTGTGGGGTATGGTGGGGCATTTATTGAAGTGCCGTTTAGCCTGTCCGCGACCTTGGGATTCTTCCGACAGTATACAATCAGTATTCTGAATTCTCTTTTGGAGCTTCCGATGCTGTTCTGAGGATGCCTAGAGAGGGGCTATATGCAGGGTTGTTAGTGTGTACAGTAATAAAACCATACCCACGTGGACGCGTGTAAATATCGCTGGCGAATTTCTGAATGCTCAGTCGCTAGTATGAAACGCGCTGAGTGCAGAACATGCAGAAGGAGGAAGGAAGCATCCAAAGGTGAAAGATAGCCAGTCCGTTGCGCTTACCATTTCTAGTACTAGTGGTACGCTGGACTTCGGCACCCCTCTCACATTCAATCGGATGTCTCAGGCCGGTACATTGAGACCCGTTCACAAACAAATGAAGCTTAGTTGAAGGATAAAGCCCTGGATTCTCACAGGAAACTTCTCAGAAAAGTTGTCAGCGATTTGCCTAGTCAGCATTGAGGGGAAATGGAAGGAAGCATATGGGTGCACTCTGACTGGATAGATCGAAACCTGGCTTACCAAGCTACCCCACCCCCATTGGTTGTCAGCCACCGTCTTCTGTACTATATATGTGCATATACAGGCGAAGTGGTGTTTTCTCAACTCAACAGAAAAAAAGTTCATAATCGGCCACAATGACGGGCGAGCGACAAGCAGCAAATGCTATTCGATTTTACGATTCGAGATCATGGGATTACGATGCGACATGGCATAACGACTTTACCAAACGGTTCATATCCTATCTGGACATACAACCTGGGCAGCATGTACTGGACCTAGCATGCGGAACTGGACTCCTGACTTTTCGCGAAGCAGAGGCTGTGGGACCACAAGGTCACGTCATAGGAGTTGATGTCACGCCCAGTATGCTTGCGGTGGCCACGCACCGAAAGACGCAAGGGGGAGATAAATATGCAAATACTACCTTTCTCAAGGGCGACGTGTTACATTTGGATGAGACGGAAGAATTGAAGGGGAAACAGTTTGATGTCATCACGGTAGCTTCTGCGCTTGTCTTGTTTCCTGACCCTAAGGCTGCCATGGAGCACTGGACGGAATTTCTGAAGCCTGGGGGTGTCATGGCAGTGGATGCGACGCACCCGAGGAACTTAGTGCCAGGCATGGTTCTCGAGAGGGTGGCGCGCAGACTGCAGCTGCCGATCCCATATAACCGCTCATGGAGCAAATCAGAGGACACTCTGAGGAAGACAATGGAGTCAGCTGGCCTAGAGGTGGAGCAGGTGTTTACAGTGGAAAACCAAGCCGGATACGGCCGACGCTCGTATGAAATGGAGCAATGGGACGACTTTTTTGTCGAGAACGTAGTTGTCAAGGACATTGCCAGGACGTTTGCGAGTAATGACATCAGGAGAAAAGCACAAGGGGTTTACAAAGAGGAGTGGGAGAAGCTGGCGATAGACGGCAAGGTCGAAGAGGTAGACTCGGTGTTTCTGGGTATAGCGCGGAGACGTAAGTAAAACCCATGCAGCTGCACTTGAGCCAATGGCGAACTGACGCGACACTGAAGCTGCCGACGGATCTCGATATGTTGCACAAACAATTAAAGACGATGTCGTATTCTCAGGCGGGTGCCGGTGCGGCGGGGTACAATACACAGCGAGCGCGGCGCCTTCAGACATCACCATCTGCCACTGCCGAGCGTGCCAGCAACTGTCGGGCTCTGGATTTCTCGCGTTTACACGAGTACCGTTGAAAGAGGTTAGGTTCCAGCAGGCGAGCACACGCACAAGTCTGCAACTTTCTAGCGTTGCCGAACGAACCTTTTGCTCGGGGTGTGGGGCACCGATATCCATGACATATCCTTCAGACCCTGAGGGACTCGGTCTGTGCATGGCCACGGTCGATCTGGAAAGCCTAAAAACGGAGACGACGCCAAAGGTGATCAAGCACATCTTTCTGCGGGAGAAGGCGCCTTGGGTGGTGCTGCCAGAAGACGGGACCGAGCGTTGGGGCACCTCAGAGGTAGCACACTATCTGAGCCAGAAGTCGTAGAGCCGCGTGTGTGTACTGTATTGTACTGTACTATACTGCACACACACACGGCTAGTGAGGCAGATGGCGGTAAGGGAGACGGAGACGGAGACGGGGATGGTGGAGTAGCTGCGCCAAGCGGGACTGGATGGATCCATGATAAAGCCCGACTGCGGTGCAGCTAGGCAGTGTAGACATGTTGAGCAGGCCGAATGCAAAAGAAGTTGTTTTGGTGTTTGCGAGAGGACGATGCTACAGGCAGGGTATGAGGGTGCCAGCAGCCGCTGTCACAGAAATGTTTCCCTGGGGCAGAATGTTTCCAAACACGCGGTGCGTGTCATTGGCCCGCGACGCGTTGAGCCCGAACGGCGGGCCAAGGCATCGAGGGAACCGGCAGAGGGCAAAGGCAGATTAGCTACAAAGACGCCCTGGAGGGAACCGCAGAGTTTGAAGGCGGCTGCAGCGTGACTAGAGCGGCGCCATGCATCCCGAGCGCGCGATTGGTGCGAGCCATGTATCGCAGGTGGGTAAGCCTTGTATACGTGTTGCGGTGTGCGAGCATGACGGGGCGGGCTAGCCGTCCCAGCCTCACAAAATGCGACTCCCGGCCACCTTAGTTTTCCCGCCCCTCGAAACATTTGTACGCTGCACAAAATCCTCGCCTGCTTTCTTTTCCAAACCCTGAATCCCCATTCCCTCTGCTTTTGGTGCGACTGTGTCTGTAGCGACTCGTCGCCGCTGTCCTGCACCAGCTGCTGAGCCCTTGTACCCCACCCACCACCGTCCCTCATTGCTCCTTCATCGGCCCTATCCGCCGCCCATCGCTCGGGCTGCCCGCTGCCCTCACGCCCTCACGCCCGTCCCCTTAGGCGACGAGTCGAGGCAGTGTTTCACAGCACCACGCGTACAGCCCTCGCTGCCGATCCGGACCATCTGCCGTCGTTGCAAATCTCGCTTTCCCCAAACAACTAGTCGCTCCCGTGGGCCGCCGATATGAGCCGCAACTCATCGCATGATCGGGACCTGCAACAGCCCTCTCACCCTCCTTATGCTGCTCAGGGCCCCCAACGCGCTGCTATACAAGTGCAGCCCTACCATACTCGCAAGCACTCGGCCCCCCTGCCTGAGCATGACGCTCGCGTTTTTGACGACGTCGACATTACTGGACTTCAGCCACCCCCCTCTGCTCTAACACCCACTTCCCCCACCGCGTATGACCCACATGCGTCCTGCCCGTTAGACGACTTCCCCAGGTCAGGCCGTAGCAGTCACCAGCGCACGCTGACCGGAACCGTATTCGAAAACCTTAACCGCGCCGCTACTACAATCCAGCAGCATACCTCACGCGCCTCTTCGCCCTCAAAGTCCCTTGCCAGTTTTATGCCCTCGAGGGGAACCGTTGAATCTAGCGCCAGCCAGCCCAAGATCAGGGCTATCCAGAATTGGTTCAGTGGCTCTTCGCCCTCTAGCAAGGCCAGCACCTCGCAGCACGACGATTACTCAGACTCGGAGTCGGCATCAGGAGAAGAGTACGACTCGGAATCAGAGTCAGAGTCCGAAGTGGAAGAAGAGAGGGGCAACATGATGGCCAATATCTTTACCCGTGGCTCGTCCCTTACGAGGGGCGCTTCTGAGAGTCCTCAACCCTCTAGCGCTATGCCGGCGCAGACCAAAGCACCAAGTCAGCCGACTGCGAGCAGCAAGTTTGCCTGGTTGCTTAAGACACAAAAGAGCGCTGCGGTCCCTCCCCCACAGCCGTCACCCACATACCACAACCCCGACGATGAGCTGCTGAATCTCAACATCTCGCAAGCTCTCTTCCCCCACGGCCCCGCCGACCCCCTCGCTGCGTCATCCTTCCACGACCTCCTCACTAATGCCGAAGCGCTGCTCTCACGCTACCAGACTGCCTACCGCAAACTCTCTACTGCTCTAGTAGACGCACACTCGGAACAGAGTGCGCAGGAAGACGAGCTCGACGAGGCCGAGACACGTGCCCGCCACCTCAAGATGCAACTTGAGACCATGGCAAGGCGAGCCGACGAGCAGGATGAGCAGATGCGATCGCTCATGGAAGACCTTGCGTTTGAGCGAAGAGCAAGGCAAGAAGAAGAGGCGGCCCGCAAGAGGAATTTGGCGCTCATCAGGGGTTCGGCCCAGTGTGAGCATGCTTCGTGCCAAGACACTGCTGTCAGACGGCACAACCGCATTTCTGGGTCTGGACTTAGCGTCGATTCTGGCTTCGAGTCGGAACCAGAAAACGACGGAGCAAGTGTCACGTCAGGAAACTGCTTGAGCCCAACCGCCACCGACCGTTCCTCCGTACTTGACATTGACTCTCATGCCAACACCACCAAGGGCAAGAAGCCTGCACCGCTACAACAGAAGATGCAAGAAAAGATTGACATCAACCGGGGAGGATGGGGATGCGCAAATTGTGAAGGTGGCGCACAATCCTCTGTATGGGGACGTCTGGCCAAGGAGCGAGAGGAGAACCGTACGCTAAGACTTCGAGTCGAGACGCTCGAGGAGGCTGTTGACGGTGCCCTGAACGCCGTCACTGGTGCTTGGGGAATGTAAATAGTATGTGTCTAGTACAATTTTGTGGAAAGGCACTGGCGTATGGCGAACTGTGCTTTTACTTGCCGTCTTTGGCTTCGTTCTTCGCTTCGCAATATTTATGCACTTGAGCTTTAGATGGAACGGAATACCACTTTTGCACAGCATTGCTGTGTTGCGAGCATGTATGTATGTACTCTAGGGATCGGTTTTTTTGTGAAATATATATTTTTTCTTCACAGTCAATGAAGTAGAACCTTGATCGATTCAAGGTGATGATGACAGCTTGCATAAAATAATTAGCACGGCGAATACTTCCGATATCACCAAATCACTTGTACACCAAAATAGAGTGGTCATTTGTATGCATTCATCCTTTTATCCATTACAGTCATACATTCTTCGTACATATTCCTCAAACCGTTATCTCATCGCAGAAATGCTAGTACAGGAGGGAAAAGAAATACTCCATCACATCACACTATGCAAGCCTCAAAGCTTACCCTCGCAGCAATCCTTGGTCACCAGAACCGAAGAGTTGTTCTTAGTATTTGGCACATCAATCGCAGGATTGCGGTCGAAAAAGTCACTTGGCTTGTAGTGAATCTCGTAAATCTCTACAGGCATAACGGGCCAATCCTCGACACTGCACATTCGTTAGCAACTTGTTCTCTCACCAAAAAACAACAACAACAACAACTTCGAACCAACCAGATGCGAACATCGGATGGGACAGAGAAGGATTTTTTTTTTAAAAAAAAACAAAAAACTTACCGAGGGTTATGTGTCAAACCAAAGACATTCCAAAGCACAAAATCCTCCTCGGCAACATCGTCCTTGCGAGCAGCCATGTCATACACACCGCCCACATCAAGCTGGCTCTGCATCGTGAAGGGTCCGGCGGCAAACAGCTCGTCATCGCGGTACTTGGTAACCCACAAGTGGTGTTGGGTAAACAGCGCGCGGTTCGATTGAATGCTACCGGGAGCCGCGAGCAGCTTCTGTGTTGGCAGCGGCGCAAACTTGTAACCAACATTGTTTCCAGACTTGGGGTTCTTCTTGTAGGGGTTGATAATCTTGAAGACGCGGTGGTCGGTGGGGTTCGCGTCGAGGCCCGTTGACTTGTCGACGATGGTCTTGCGGATCTCGTACCAGTTGCCGTTGGGGTTTGTCTCCTTGTTCCATGGCGCAGTGTGGGATTCCTCGTAGACGAGGGTGTTCTTGTGGCCGTCGATGGCTGGGTCGACGCGGACGGCGAAGATGTGCTGGTGGTTTTGGGCGAGGACGCCGTTGGCGACGACGTTGCCGTAGTCGGAGGTCTTGCCCGGGTCGATGTTGACGACGGAGACGATACCCGTCGCGCGGGTCTCGATGGTGATGCCGCCGGCGTTGTCGAGCTTGTAGGCGAAGATGTACTCGTAGTTGGCGAGGGTGATGATGAATTGGACGACGAGCTCGCGCTTACGGGTTACGACGGCGCGGCCAGTTCGCCAGTTGGTGTGCTTCCAGCCGATGCCGTCATCTTGCTCGTGGAGACAGATGACGTTGGGCTGGTCCACGGGCTCACCCTCTCTGTCGATGTTAGTGCCATCAAAGTACTTGATGACACCCAAGCAGTCACAGCCGAGAGAGAGGTTGTTGGCGCAGTTTCCGGCACCTCCGTCACCAAAGTCAAAGGCTTGCTTGCGGTGGTAGCCTGGACGGGCATCGGCATAGGGTACAGTCATCTCGCTGATGCTCATGCGGTACATGATGCTTCGTCCATCGTAGTGAACGTCGTGCAGAACTGCTCCTTCACGGGGGTTAAACGATACCCTGAAGCGCCATTTTTGCCATTCAACGAGTGATTCATCAGAAACTCTGAATGAAGGCCCGTCAGGCTGTAGGATGTTGATGGGCTTGACATCCTGTCGGAGTCCGCCAGCAACCATCTCAGGGACATACTCGCCCGGCTCGCAGTGATCAAGGACACGTGGAGAGCATGTCTTGGCCGTCAGACCATCTCCCTTTCCACCTGTAGCCAATCGTTCGACACGAACAATCTTCTTTGTTGCTGCGTCCATGATGGGGACCAGGGGTACTGGGTATGAGTAGAAGTTGGAGTCTGGGTTTCCGTTCCTCAAGTCTTGCGCAAAGCAGAGACCTTGGAAGTATCTGGCGCTGTCGAATTCTGGGTCAACTGGACCGTGTGGCCTGGAGAAATTAGTATGTAGTCGAAGAGAAGGGTACAAGGTAATCTTACCATGGCTCAACAACCAATTCAAATCCTTCAGGTAGTTGATATTCGGCAACAGCCTTCTTGAACATGTCGCTCTCCTTGCATGCTTGAACGAGATCATCGAATTCCCACAAGCACAGACTGGGTTGCATAGTATCCTTTGGAAAGGCCTGATGGCGGACTCTCTTTTTTTGCTCGACATCAACGAGCGACTCGTTATACTGCGGGATCTTATCTGACCCAATCACATCGTACTGAACCTTGGCCAGTCGTGGCGGTCTCTTGGTGGCCGCAGAGTGACCTGGCTTGGCAGCATGTTCAAGTTCAAGAAATTGCTTCATTGCTTCTTTGTTTGGTTCTTGGGCGAAGATTTCCCGAAAGTTGATGAGAGTGTCTTTGTGGAGTGAGCGGATGACATCGCGAGCGACGCGTATCTCATCTGAAGAGATACTCTTGAAAGGGTGAGGCGCCATGATGGTTGACGATCTATGAATGTACGAAAAAAAAGGACCTGGTCTACCTTGACAATGCAAGAGGAGGTAGAGGAGTTTGTAGATGAGAAATTAAAAAATCCGCCCAGCACACAGGCTGTCCTTCCCTTTTATCATCGTATATTCCAGTCTAATACATGGATCTTACATTCCGCGATTCTCTACCGCGACAGGCGGGGTCTCGACTAGTACTATCCGCTATCGTGGGTTAGGAGGAATCGCATGGACCTCCTGCAAGCAGTTTAGTGCGTGGGTTATCCAAAGCCTATCCCACCAGCACCCGGCTCGGTAACTTTTTTACATACAAATTGAAGTATTATCTTTTACCAAACTATGGATCTAGACGTCTACAAAGCTTGCTGATTTATAAGTTGATTGCGATACGCCAATGTGCGGGGAATGCGTATGTCTCGATGGACGGAAGTATACCGCGGTGGGATCCGCACTTTTGTTCCCCTGCAGCGCGGACAGCGGTACAGTGCCGCTTCCGGCATTCCTACACATGAGAGATCCTTACGTCGACAAGGGTATCACTCAAACCACAGCCGCATCGGGTGACATTTCCTCAAATTCGGACCGCCGATTCCTTACCGCCTATCTCTTGTTTGAAATTATACGCTTATCATGTAACTCGTTAGAGCGACAAAAAAGATAATGTAAAACTGGCCAGACGGGATGTTCCGGGCAACAGTGGACTCTGCCAATGGTGACTACATGAGTCCTCTTGGGAATGGTTTCGTGGCAGCACATGTTGTATGCATGCATTGGACATATTAGCACAGGAGGAAGACCGAGGCTACGGTTATGTGCAGGTGTTGTGTCTGCGTTGTACAGCTCACCGCATTGAGCCACGGTAGAGCTACTAACGCTGATCCGGTGAATTACAAGAGAGTCGAGTTGGTTAGGTCTTGGTACTTCGCCCATCCTTGTAATCTAATACATTTTATGACCACGTTGATTACTAGCCCGCACAAGCGGCCCTACAACTGTTCTTAGTGCGCAATAATAGTCTCGACTCGAGAGACCATCTCCCATTGAGCCCTACCGTTTACAGCTATAGTGTGGGGTTGGTCCAGCCTGTCGCGAGATGGCAATTCTGAGAAATATAATGTGTCTGAACCCTCAAGTTTTCATCAAAAGAAGTAACAGCTTCTATCACTAGCATCGGTGGTTTAGTGGTAAAATTAGCCGTTGCCATCTCTCTTCGAGAACAGTTTCGGCTAGCCCCGGGTTCGATTCCCGGCCGATGCAAGCTTTCTTTTTTTATTTTATTTTTGTTCCTGGACCTGGCGATCGGGTTCTGAGCATCTTTTTGCTTTTTCGCTGGTTCTCGCTGTTGAGGTTAGGTGTCTTTTTGTGCTCTGCGCTAAGTTGAAGACGGAGAAAGTTGCTGGCAACAGCAGCAGTGACAGCAGCGCGTCTTTGTGTACATGTTGTCACTACTTCCCTTGCCACGTGGATGCCTTTGCACGAGTCTTTTGGACAACTGCTTTGGAACGTGTGTGGCGGTGCGCTTTTTTGCCTCCTCATCTTGGTGAGGCTGCGCCACAAGCACCGCCACAAACGGGCCTAGTCCCGCCATTCTTGGTAGGTACGCACCGACACGGACGCTATGACTGCTGGCTCACAATGCGCTGGCTGACAATCTTGGAAGACAGAGTGGGCCTCTCTGTCGTCACACACGCTCCACTTGACATTTCACAGCCATGCGCTGCCCTTGATGCTTCCTGAGACGATGTGGCTGTGAGTTTATGGACGCGCCGTGATGGACGCGCCGAAGCTCCCTGCCTTTTAGAAACCCATTGCTTTTTGTTACCAATTCAACTTCCAACCTTCCAACCTTCCTGGTTACGGAAACCGCATTTCTACATCAACATGTTTACCGGAGTGACACCGGAGTCGCTCATTCCTCGCTCAGACTCGCGAAATCCGGCGACCACGTGCAAAGGCCTTACACAATCTGGGCGACCATGCAAACGGCCTATTGACGCAAAGGAGCCGGAAGGCGACGGTGTTCTCGCCGTGACGTCTGTTGCTGGCGATGACAGCGGGGAGGAGATTGGCGCAGCGGCGTATTTTTGCTGGCAGCACAAAGACCAGGCGGAAACGTTGGCAGCGAAAGAATCGACAGGACCAGCAACGGAATTATACCCGCTGAAAGAGAGGACCAGCATTGATACACTGGTGCAACGGCTGGGTGTTCTGGATGTTGACGAGCCGAATGAAGCTGCTCCACGCAAGAGGAGGAGCAGTGGCCATAGAAGGAGATCTGGGTCTCGACCACCCAGGCGAATCAACCGGCCGCCGACGTGGGATGCTGTCCAGGGCCCATTAATGTCTGTACCCAGCGATGTAATGGCAGACCGAAAACGAAGAGACCGGCCCTCGAAATCAGCGCCACCAGTGAAAAAGCTCGGCTTCTGGGCATCGTTATGCTGTGGATCTGCAGATGAGGAGATTCCAGAACCCACACGACACAAGAAGAAGACAGAGCAACCGCCGCCAGCAGAACCGGCTCAAACAGAAACACCCATGCAAGATATCCCACAGCCAACATCACAACCACCACAACCACCACGAGTACAAGGCCAGTCTCGAAAAAGCAGTAGCCAACACTCGCGACCCTCTAGCTCTCGCAAACCTCTCTCTGAGAAACCATCCCGCCCCGTCAATAAGACGAATCCCAGCTCTGACTCCGAAACCGCCGCACTCCTGCGCTACATCCCCACATCCCTCCCCCCGAAACTCGCCTCAACCCTACTAGCCGAACTCTCCAAGCCCATCTCCTCGCACGACGAGGATGGCTTCATCTACATCTTCTGGCTGACCCCCGAGGCCGCAGGCCCGGCACCCGCATCCGCCGCCAGTAATTTGCTGGCGCCACGCGCAGAAGGGGGGTCCCGGAGACGGACGTCAGATGTGATGCGGCAGTATTCTGTCAAGGAGAAAAAGGGCGAGAAGGGCGGGGAGAAGGGAGAGAAGGGAAGCAAAGGCACAATCTTGCTCAAGATAGGCAGGGCGAATAATGTGCATCGGCGGATGAATGAGTGGACCAGACAATGCGGCTATAGTCTTTCGCTTGTGCGGTACTATCCGCATGTTTCGTCTGCGACGCCATCGCCTGCGGGGTCGAGGCAGCCGTCGCATCAGGGGCGGGAGTCATCGGGCGGTAGTGGTGCTGATAGTAAATTGCAAGTTGGGGGTGACGGGGCGGCGGCAGCAGGAGTGCGCAAGGTACCGTATGCGCATCGGGTGGAGCGCATGATTCATCTAGAATTGGGGGAGCAACGGGTGATTAAGCAGTGTGAGGCTTGCGGCAAGAGCCACAAGGAGTGGTTTGAGGTCGAGGCGACGAGGGATGGGATTAAGAAGGTGGATGAGGTTGTGAAGAGGTGGGTTGAGTGGGCGGAGAAGAGAAATGAATGATGTGATAGTTGGGTGTATTTGGATAGCTGGCATATCAACATACGACCATTATTATCAAGGATTCACGCACCGGAAGACTCGCGTAACCACATCCTCGCCGTAGTATTTCATAAGAAAAAAGTATAATTTCATTTGGGGAATTGGGGTATCTTGTGTAGCTATAGCAGCAAACAGGTAACAAACAATCAAAACGCTCATGTTCTTGGGACTTTCCGATACAGGTGGTTCGCAAGGTTTACTTTAGGGGGGGAAAGGTAGCCCGACATGGCGGACACTGTACAGTGGAGCTTTTGGGAGTGGTGGCGGCGGCGGCGAAAGGGGGAAAGGAAATGGAGATTTCGCAAAAAAAAAAAGAAAACGCCGCGGCCCATCTCTAATACGGCCGGTATGTGGAATCGAGAGCTTTTCCCCACCTCTTTTATGCCGCAGTAAGCGACAAAATATTACATCCTACTCGTGTTGAACTTGGTCTTGCCCGGTTGATGGTGCAAGGTGATACATATATACAGTTGCGTTTCCTTTGGGATTTTTTCTTTCACCGCCAGATGGTTTTGAGGTTAGAAGAGGCCGATGCGGGGCCGCCAGTCGTTTTCAGCGGACTTTGGGTTGACGACAATCTGATAGGGGAAGGGGTTGGCGTCGGTGGTGGTGATGGGAGGAATGTGGTCTTTGTCGCGGTTGACAATGGCGATGATCTTGTGCGCGGCTTTTTCCAGCGACTTTGTCATTGCGCGACGGACCTTGAGGGCATCTGTGGTGTGGATTAGTGGGTTGGCAGGAGGTGAAGGGTTGGTTGGGCTGCTACGTACCAGTCTCGGTCCGGGGCTGAGCGAGAGTGACGTCGAGCGTCCACTGCTCCCAGCAAACGTCTTCGTCTGCCTTTCCGAAAAAGTACGTCTTTCTCCGCTTCTTCTCGAAGAACTGGACGACAATCTGACCTCGTCCACGGGGCTGGTGGGTGCTGTCTATGGAGCGCACGAGCGCAAACGTCTTCTGCTCGATAAGCGTCTCAAGGTCGACATCGTCGATGGCGGGCAGCGTCAGGTCGAGCAGGTCGCGTGTCAGGGGCGATATCGAAGTAAAGTACCGGTGAAAGAAGATTGTGTGCAGGATTGCTGCCGGGCGGTTAGGACACGCTCACGGAGGAGGCCGGGCGGAAGGGGGGGGGGGAGAGAGAAAAGGTTGGGCGGGTGGTCGGGCCAGAAGGTGAAGAAAAACAAAGCGTGAAAAGACTTACCCTTGACGACATCCTTGACAAAGGCAGCATCTGCGAAGATGTCGAGGTTGTACTCTGGCCGCCGTCTTTGCTCCATGGTGGCAGCAGCAGTAGCAGCAAAGTGCTTGGAGGCCGAGCTGGAGACAGGGAGCGCGGGAGAGCGCCACACGGCGTTTGGTTGGGGGCGAGTCGCAGGGGGAAGGGTGCGAACGGGGGGAGCGACAGCAGGCGGGGATGCGAGGCGGGCGGGGATGGTGGCAGGAGGAGCAGCAGGAGCAGCAGTAGTGAGGGTGTCTGGGGTCGAGCGGCGGCGGCGTCGAGGGAGTCGAGAGTGGTGGAGTGGCAGAGGGCGTGGTTGGGACAGGTGTGGAGGTGAAGTTTCGGGCTTGTGCGGGGCAGTCGCGGATGAAGACGACGGAAAACGAACAGGCGCGGGCAGCGCCGTGGGTGAGATCATCAGCACGCCTATCACTCACACTATTGCTATGGCTGTGTATGGACGGATCGTCTGCAGCCCAGCCCAGCGCAGTCGCATCAGCCCGCGGCCGCCTGGTCAGCTATTTGTAGCCTCTTGTCTCCTGTCTCGTCGGCGGCGTGACGCGACACCAGAGCACCACGCCGAGACAAACGTCCTTGGATGCTGCACCTGAATCTGTCATCTGCCTGCTCATCTGAACCACCCCCCTCCCCCCCGTCATGGTTGTGGCCAGCCTTCCCGGCATGCTGCACCCCGACACTTGCTTACAGTACTTACACCTACAGACGGCCCGCCGAACACGTTGCCCGGAGTCTGGACGGCCCAGTCGCAGCAGACTTACATATCTTGCATGCAGCTCTGGCCAACAGTTTCCCTCTCTTCCTCTCCTTACATGCATATGTACAAACACCCACAGGCCGCGTGCATGGTGATGGATGCACCGCCCGTCCCGTGACGTCGGCCCTGTCCATCGCCCATCGCCCATCGCCCATGGACTAACCACGCCATCGTCACATGTCAATGGTCTGTCTGCAGCCCTGCCAGGAGTAGGCTTGCATACTAAGCACACGGTGTGCGGCGGCCACACGCGCAATCTGCACCCTCCCTGGTGGCCATCAGATGGCTTCTTGTGCTGCATTGGCTGGTCGCTCCCAGCTAAGGGGTAGCATCCGCCGTCATGGATACCCGCCCTCGCCCGTGGCACATGATGCTCGCGCCCTCTGGTCCCCGCACACTGGTAGGCAGGCGTGTTTGAGCCTCCGCCGCGCGCCAAGCATCACTGTCGCGTAAGTCGCGTCACCATCAACCCATCTCGCCAACCCATTTCATCACACCCCAGACATGGTTGGCACAAAGAGAAGACGCGACGACGACGAGAATGACGACGGCACCCCGCAAAAGCTGCGCGCCCGCATAGCCGACGAGGTAACAGGCGACCAGGATCCCCTCGAAGCCCATACGCCCTCGAGAAAGGGGAGGACATACCTCGCCGAGCATGGCACCCCTCGATCCATCTTGAAGAAATCCGGCTTCCCCAATGCAGTCGCTGCCACTCCAAAGTCGGCGCGCAAACTTGTCTTTGAAACCCCGACAAGGTCTGCTAAGCGTGATTCCCCAGAGGGCACCCCCACCCTCGTCCGCAATGCCGATCGAAGTGCACGTCGGAAGAGCAACAGGCGCATGCTGGAGCGCACGTTGAATGGAATAGACAGCGACGAGGATGTCCTTGACGAGGAGGATGAGCTCGCCCAACAAATTCTCGACGAGCCTGCCGACGAGGTAGAACAGTCCACCCAAGAGGCGCCCCTAGAAGAAGAAGCCCCTGTGCCCGAGACTCCCTCGAAGCGTGGAAGGGGCCGACCCAAGGGATCGGGCAAAGTTGGCCGCCCGCGAAAGCAACGCTCGCCCACCCCGCCGACTGAATTGCCTCCGCACGAGGAGTACTTTTGGCAGAACCGTCCTGCAGGCACAAAGACATCCAACAACACCCTCTCCGCACAGAGCCTCCTCAGCCATGACGAGTACTTTCAGGCAATACAAGCATACCAAGACCCTCACCAGTCTGAAATAGACTTTTTGCTGGAACTGCATGGCCGTGCGTACGACCAATGGATGTTCGAGCTCGAACAGGGTTTCAACATTTGCCTCTACGGCTATGGCTCCAAACGCATCATTACAGAACGCTTCACAGCCCACCTCTACCACTCCCTCCTCGACCGCGCGCCTTATAAGGGAACAAAGAAGACGCCAAAGATAGCAATCATAAACGGTTATGCCGCTGGCACTACAATCAAAGAACTCCTGACGACGGTCGCATCGGCTGTCGTGCCGGCGAATTTGAAGCTGCCTAACCAACCTACGGTGCTGCTCGATTTCATCTTGGAGCACCTGACCAACAACCCACCATCGCACCCAGTACCCGTCGTCTTGAACTCCATCGACTCGCCCTACCTTCGCAAAACCCCGCTGCCGTCCATGCTCGCCCGACTAGCCAGCCACCCCTCTGTCAATCTTGTATGTACAGCAGACACACCAAACTTTCCTCTGCTATGGGATGTTGGTCTCAAAACACAATACAAGTTTTTGTTTCACGACGCAACTACCTTTGCGCCCTACGACGCAGAGATGGACACTGTCGAGACTGTCAATGAGCTTCTTGGACGCAGCGGCAGACGAGTAGGCGGCAGAGACGGTGTGGGCTTCGTTCTGCGCTCCCTACCAGAACAAGCGCGAGAACTATTCCGCATCCTGGTCATGGAGCAGCTTGCTCTATCCATGATGGAAGGCATGGACTTAGACGAAGACGACGACGTCACTGCCACACCAAAGTCAAAGAGTGCACAAGTAAAGAATGCCCTGCCAGAATCTACCCAAGGTGTTGAGTACCGCGTCCTCTACCACAAAGCCGTTGAGGCTTTTGTATGCACTAGTGAAGTTAGTTTTAGAACCTTGCTTAAAGAGTTTCACGATCATCAGATGATTGAGAGCCGGAAAGATGGTATGGGTACAGAGCGGCTGTGGGTTCCGTTCAGACAGGAAGAGTTGGAAGGTCTCGCCGAAGACCTCGCTGGAGAGGCGTTTTGATTGGTACCCGATTTTAATTCGACTATATTTCTTTTTGGATAAACCTTGGTCTCGACATTGGGTTGTGAAGACATGTGTGTTGGATGCTGATTTGGCTCACTAACCACTTTCAAAGTATGTTTTTTTGGTTGACCAGACACAAGGTGAAACATTGGACCTACGAGTATCTCTCGACATAAACTGTACTAACCCCTTGCGGCTGTTGCATCTGCCGATGGTGGGGTCCTTTGGCACCCACTTGACCCATGTTTGGTCCCGACTATGTGGTGCGACCCCACCTGTCCGATCTTACCTACTCGTTAGTTTTTTTTTGAATATATTTTTTGTGAGTTTCAAAACTTCCATCAATCAACAGCCAACAGCGCGGTGTTCAACACCCGCTCCTTTCAAGGAAGGCAAAAAGGTCGCTTAGCTCAGTTGGTTAGAGCGTGGTGCTAATAATAATACATCACCGGTGACAATGTTCCCGGAGAGGGACTCAGTTAACGCCAAGGTCGCGAGTTCGACCCTCGTAGTGACCATCCAATTCTTTTTTTGCGCTCTCTATCTCTAGAGGAGGAGGATAGGGAGAACGGGAACGTTTTTTTGTTGGTAGAAGTTACTCAAAATACGCTGATATTGTGAGTTGAGCCCTAAGTGAACATTTTTACGGTATTAGATGTTCTATGAATTCTTTCTACAACTCTACGCAAGCTTTCTTCAACGTAGGAAAGTTAACCAGCACTTGTAAATTCTTTCTGCAAGTACGCAAATATATCCAGCAACTCGATATACCTACAACTCATTTAATCAATAACCTACTATTTCAGCCTCCACACACTAATCATGTCCTCACCACGGCTCTGCTCAAACGACTCAGGCGGGCTCCAGTATACCACTCTCTCAAAACTGCCCTGGTCTTTTCCGCCACCAATAAGTTTACCCGACTCGTCAACCGTGCCATCTCCACCGTCAGCCAGCAAATTCCAGTGCACGCCATTAAGACCCCACGGCGGACCCGGTGCTTTGAGCGGCTTCCACATGGGAAACTCGAGACATACGAGCACGCCCGTTGGCGCCAACAGCCTCTTGATCCGCTCAGCCCAATCCTTGCGCATCTCCGGCAGCAAAGCACAGAGAAACTAGCATCATCAGCGCGTATCTTCGCAACCCCATCACCCGACCTACCGTGTAGTCATAGATGAGATCAAAACCCTGAAAATCCGGCCCGAACTGGTCCTCGTACCCCTTTTGGAAAAAGTCCCCGAGAACAACTTTTGCAGTACCATGGGTAGTCGAACCGCTCAGCCGAGTCTTGATGTTTTCGTTGGCGGTATCGACTGCTGTCTGCGAGACTTCCAGGCCCCACACTTGATAGCCGTAGCGTGCTAGCAGAGCGACATCATGGCCTTTACCGCAGCCCTGTGGGAATTGAGTCACCATTGCTTTAGACCATCTGACTTGCGGACGGTATCCAACATACAGGAACAAATGCCCTGAGCGGTCGCTTCTCCCCCTCTCGGAACAGCGTCTCACGGTACGGATGCGTCTCTAGGAACGACTGCAACGCAGGTGAAGGTCTACCGCGATCCCATAGGTGGGCCTCATCTTTCTCCCAGAGTTTGGTCCACCCGTCGCTTTGCGCATCGCGGGTCCTGACTCAGCGTTAGCTTAGTCCGTTGCCGATACCCATTGTGTCGTGACATTACTTGTAATCATCAAAATGCGCAATCAGCTGTGTCCTGTTCTGCGCAGAGCGAGCTTCGGTAGTCATGGTTGTGATTTGTGGTGCAAGGATGTGGGATAAGACGGCGAGGCTTGTACGGGAATGCGGGACCCCAGGAGTTGATCGCGTGGGTCGCCTGGGGGTTGGACGGCTACGGGCACGCGAGACAGTGTATCCTTGACGTCACCCCGGCTCCTTTGTTAACGACACGAAGGCACTTTGATGCCGCCAGCTTGTATAGCGCATGCGTGAGACTCTTGGAGAGCTTGCGGACGGCATTGGCTATCCGTGTCAAGCAAGTTGCGGACTGCTTGATTGGTCCGAATCAAGACAAGACACTCTGCACACACACACACACACACACACACACACACACATGGTTCCTTCTAAGCATCATGGCGGACCTCAGTTAAACAAGGCCCACTGGCGCAGTATGGCTGATATCCCATTGTGGCAGCACATCAAGGCAAGCCGGCTATGCTGTGGCTGAGCCGACCCAACTTTCTACTTCCTTGCTTCCCGAAGCCAAGTATTACTATCGTCAAGTGGTTTACGCCCAATTGCCGACGTCACAAGCTTAATACCCTGAACCAAAACATTTTCTATGGGTAAATTTGTGGGTTCCAGCATGCTGTATAGGCTCATGGTATCCGCTCCTTTTCTAATACAAGGACAAATTGGGTCAGCATATCATATTACGGACGTGTATCTACCTACTTGAGCAAACAAGCAGTAACTACCCAAGCGGACATTCATAGGTTGCACTTTCCCCTGCTTTCTCGAGCGTTAATGGTACCCACCTCTTCACCCAAGCCTCACCGTCCCAATTCCACCACACCTTCTTGCATTGGTATCCATGGGGCATCTTATTCTCAGCTTGACATCCCCCAGAGTACGAACATTGTACCGTGTGCGCCACCGTCTTGTGATTATATTCTTTATCCTTACGCTTCTCCACCAGCAGCACCTTTACCTAGTCAGCCGAGAAGCCCTACGGGCGAAATACGTTCCGACCAAATTTAACCTGAGAGAGAAAGGCGTTGCGACCGATTTCAACCTACACATCCACGATCGTTACACGCGCTCATGGGGACCAGAAAATGAAGATCCGCAATTAATAGCCAATCTCTTAGACAACCGCGAGCACTGGAAGCTTATGGGGAACGGCTGGGAGGGACGTGTGTATGTCTACAAGGACTCTGTTATTAAGACTTTCGATACAATACGAAGTCCTCCACGAAACTGCGCTCCTCCTAGCTACCCGACCGATAGATGGCCGGCAGAAATACCCGCGACCCTCTACTTTGGAGGCTCTACTTCGACTGCTGCTAATGGAACTGAAGAGACTGGAAATGGAAAGCCAAGATATAACGGCTTCCTCCCCGTCAAGGCCCACTTCATAGCATCCAACTCGCCCGGAAGTCCAGAAGAATGGCACCTAGTAACCCCCCTAGCAGAAGGCGGCGACCTTCTCACACTCGCCCAGAAGCTCTCTACCGACCCAAATATCACATCCTACCGCACCATCGACGCCCGCTACCGCCCCGCCTTCAACCGCTTCCTCTCCATACTAGCCGGCGTCCACAACGCAGGCTACTGCCACGACGATGTCAAGCCCGGCAACATCTTCATCCAAGGTCCCTCAGACTGGCTCCTCGCCGACCTAGGCAACGTCCGCGAAGTGACCCATCCCTACCACACATCTCGTATCTGGAGAGATAGCAAGCAAGTTCCTGACTGCCGCTCCAACGATGTTGTCAGGGCACTGAAATCATACCTCAAGTTTCTACAGAAGTCAATGCCTAGTCAAGACGATTTTAACGCTGCGCTGCTACAAGGTGAAGAACCGATTGGGAGGCTCTTTTGGTGGACGATGGCGGATGCAGAGGGCATAAGGGCGGACGAGTTGCAACTTCGCTCGTTAGCTGAGAATCCAGAAGCAGAGCCAACGCCTGATACGCGGAATCGTGTGCGTATTCCGACGCGGATGTCTGCGTTGTTGAAGTGGGTGGCAAATCCTAATTTTACAAGATACGCGGTTGATTACTCACTTTGGACTACGTTGACGGAGGCAAGGGCGAGGATTTGGGGGTTGGTTTGGTTGATTGATTTGCCGAGAATGCAAAGTTGTGAAGTTTGATACCGAGGTGTTGAGGATGGATGGATGTGTTTGTGTTGGGGTGTTTTCTTGCTTGCGACTTTGTTTTGGTAGGACTCAATGAAGGTGCAACGTTCTTTTCAAATGTGAGATTTTTGGCTGCTGGGTTGTTTCTCAGAAGATTAGGGGGTTATTGTTATTAATGGAATCTCTAACAAGTTTTCTCTTTATGGAACTAGAGTGGTGATAATATGCAAGGGATATGAGTGACTCATCACACAACACAGGTCGACAAGTTTTTGCACAGTGATGGATGTCAGTTGTTTTGTTATGAATGCAGTATCAATAACGACTTTTGTCGAATTTTCTGGAGCCTCAATACATTTCTTAAGTCCACTTTACTAGGTTGGAAACAATCAATTATATAGTCCTGCTAGAAATGATCCCAGCAATCCTCACACGTCGTACTATATACTTGCTATCCCCCTACCAGACCACACCCAAAACTCCTTCACTCACACTCCAACCCGCCCCTTTAACACCAATTTCATACACTACTCACCGGCTTAAGCCTTAAACTCCTCTCTCTTCTTTTTATCCTCTGGCGCATCTAACACCTCCCTCTTTTCCGGCGCATCCACACAAGTAATAGCCCCAAACTCATTCTTCGTCGCCTCCCACCTAATTTTCTATTAGCCCTTATCCCCCCCCCCCCCTTTCAAAAACTCCCCCAACAGATTGAACTTACCAAACCGACTCAACATGCCCTCTCATACATCCCACACTCGTCGTAAACCTCCATACCATCTCGCCATCTTGCCCATTACAATACGGATAAGAAGGGTTGCACAGTCCACCCCATCTGTTGAGGTTATCCCAGAGGCCGCCGCACCAACCTGGGATCCCGTAGACGCCGCTGGCGCGGACTTCCCAGTGGTACGCTGCGGCGCTGCCGTCGATGGTGCAGCTTGCGGCTGAGGCGGTGGTTGCAAGGAAGGGGAGGATGGAGAGGGAGAGGGTAGAGAAGTGCATTTTGGATTGACAGATGGAGAGTTAGTGGATAGGTGCAAAGATTGAGAAGTAAATATGTTGTTAAGGTTGGAAGACTGATGAAGCGGTGAAGTGATTGATTTTGCTACGAGACTCGGATGGCATTTATACACACCCAGCCAAGATAACTTCTACGTAACACCGCACTGTCTGAATCAAGATACGATCCTAACCTATCTTTTTTTTTCAGGATAAAACAAGCGAAGCACTCTGGTCCTTCACCCATCTTGTCACTCCGCTCCCTCAGGCCCACTCCAATCGCATCTCATCCGCTCCCCCTAACCCCCAACGCCGAGATCTCCCACGTACCCCGTAGAGAAATGATAGACACTCCATAACACCGAGCTCCATCACCACCCTTTCCCCTTCACCAACCCGAGCCGCCCAATAGAAAAACAGTGAGTGGATCCCATTAGGGGCGGAAGACCCAGTTGGCCTATGCGATCTCCAAAGGTCCGATTTCCATCAGGGTCTCTTTCATTCACAAGGGCAAAAGATCAACCCAGGCCCTCCCGATTCTCTCTTGTGGGGAAAGTTTTGAGGCGGAGCGGGTGGATTGGGACGCCTTTTGTCTTGGTATCCCGCCGGGTGGAACGCCTTACTACTACCCGCAGCGGACACTATGTACGTAGTGTCGGTACCGTGCTTTCGGACCCCAAAGTGAATCTTGGGGGCTTGGGAGGCTTGGCGTGTAAGGCGTCCGGTGTGTGGGCGAATCGCAACTCAGGATTTGGGGGTGCATGGTGGCATGGGGATGTGGATCGGTGCTTTTGTGGGGAGTAGGGGGTGGACGCAGGGCCGCGAGGATGGTGTGGGGGTGTTGTTGCTAAAGAAAGGTGATGCGATAGGTGCCAAGAGGAGAAGATGGGGAATCGATCTTCGGGATGGAGAGGGGTGGAGTTGGGTTGTGGTGCGTGACTTGGGGAAAGGATAAGGCGGGTTGGTTGAGTTGCGCTGAGAGTTTCCGGATGGGGAGGTACTGAGCAACTTTTGTCTTGAGTACAGCTTGGTAATTGGAGGAGATCGTGGAGCACTGCCGTAAAGCCAAGGGATATGTTTTCCGAGTAGTTGATTGCATAGAGTGACTGAAGTGGTTATTTGTAGTCGTGAACAGCTCAATGATCTTGGCTTTGTGTATATAAACACAAGTTGCCATCGAGTGGATAGAATCATCAACACATCCCACCACAACCTCCTTCTTCATACACTTCTGCTCATCGAAACTCAAACTCTCAACTTTCAATCGAATCACAAAACCCAACCTCCTAACCTCACTCACAAAATGAAGCTCACAACCCTCGCCCTCACCACCTTCCTCCCCGCCACCGCCTTCTCTGCCACTTGCGGCTACGAAGGCGGCTGGGTTCACAAATGGCGTGTAACAGCCAACAACGTCTACGGCATCCCCGGCTGGTGCGGCGGCCTCTGGGACAACATGAAGACATTTCAGGGCGACTGCCCCATTTCCGATGCGTGGTGCGGAGGCGAGAACGGATTGCTTGAGTGGAAGTTTACGACACCGAGCACTTGCGGCCCCGGTGCAGTTGAGGCTGCGTGGTGGGAGGCGACGAAGAATGAGTTTGGGGCTATTGTTTGTGGGCTTTGAGTGAATGGCGGGAAGACTAGAGGAAGATGAATATGGATTGAAGTAGAAATGTTGATTCGGAATTTGATGCTTGAATAACCACTACTCTAAATATCCTACTCTGCACCAACAGAAGTATCACTAAATTTCAATCTATCCAACTGCTTTGCGAAGAACTTAGTAGTCTTGATCAGGTTCTTGATTGGTTCCGCAGCCGTAGCCTCATCCACATCCTTTAACTTGTCAAGGATCAAAGCACAGCGTGCTGACACAAAGTTCCTAGCATTGTTGCTGGCGTATTCCAGTAGGTCCGCTTGGTACTCTGCGAGAATCGCTGGGAAGTTTTGCCAGCCGGTAAAGTACTGGGCCATTTCTTTGGCTAAAGCAGCCATGTCGCTGGTGCTTTTGTCAAAGTAGCTGGCTAGGGAGGCTTCGTTGTAGTATGCGACTGTGCCAAAGACCTGTTGGTGCGAGTCAGTCAAATGTACGAGGAAAGAAGACGATGAGAAGAGAAATGCCCACCCTTTGAATTCCCGTCAGCAAAAATGTAACTGCTTCTTCCATATCCTTGAGACTGGTTCCCTTGGCTACTACCTTGTTCAATCTTTTTGTGAACTTCCCCAGAGCAACAGGGTCCAAGCCTCTCAGCAGATTACTCTTCATGGTGTTCATATCACCAGGCAGATACGAAAGGCCATAGCGATAAGCATGAGATCCAATGACCGTGAAAAACCTCATGTTTGGAGTCTTAAGGTTATTCCAATCATTACCAAACCCGTCGTCGGACCCAAAGCCTGGGACATTGGCGACGACCTGCTCGCCTAGCCACTTAAGAGTAGCACCTGCTGGGTACACCGCGTTCCAAGCAGCGGCCACATCTTTTGCCGACATTTTTGCAGCTTTCATCGCCTTCTTGGAAACGAGCACGCCTGTTACGGCTACCTTGAGCAGATGCTCAATACTAGAGAGCTGTGGATTGTCAGGTCATGTATCTCCATGTTTTGAAATGTGTTCAGTGAGAAATCTCTCGACTTGCCTCGCGCCAATGTTCCGTAGCCCACAAGACGGTCTTCCCAGAAATAGCAGTCAGCCCGGATGGGATGCTGCCTACCGTATGGAATTTCACGCCGAGGTTGGTACAAACGGTGTCCGCCATCATGAAACCGCCTTTCATCGCCAGTGTGCTCACTCCACCTCCTTCAAAGATCTTGGCACCAGAGGGGTATGGAGCGCTTGTCAGAATCAGATTGATGCCTGCTTCGAGGACGATTGTTTTTTGATTTGCTGCGCCTGGCGGACGTTTGGTTGCGCGGCCTTCTAGGTAATCCCAGTCATCAGATAGGGATCGCTTTGTGAGAGAGTCGTCCAGTTCAGGAATATCGCAGCCGCCGTCCTCGCAAAGATCACCATCGCATATCGAGACGTTGAGGGCATCCTCGTCTGGCTCGCAGCAGAGCGCTTTTGAACGCCACCCTGAAACACAGATTCTTTATGTGAGCCTCCAATCAAAAAACTCCAAGTCTCGATAACATCATGAAAAAGGCATCTGAGATACAGGGTATACGTACAATTGCAATTGGTATCAGAATCGCCGTATGGATCGGTTGCCAGAGTGATTTGGTTCCGTTCACATGTATTTTTCGCGCAGTCACCACTGCCAACCCAACTGCATTTGTCTGAAGAACAGCGTCAGCATATATCTTGTAACAAGTTATCATATGAGAGCTCACCGAACGCCTTCTTAGTTTTTTTGCAGCAATAGTTCTGGCCACCACTAGAAGCTCTTGACTGTAAACTGAAAAGCTCGTCACCTCGACGCTTCAGCGGTGGCAATTCTACAAGACATTCATTGTTATCGTTAATGCTGAATGCGTGGGCCACGCTTTCTTCATCGGCCTTGCATTTCTTGTTGTCACTACACGGAGTTATTGTCTTTGTCTTGAAGGTAGGTTGCGAAGGGTCCTCACCATCCTTTCGTCCAGTAGCAACCGTGCGTGACAGGCTCGGTGTCCACAGTGCAACAGAGGGCCTTGCCTCCTCGACTACACCTACCAGTATGACCCTCACCTGGATAACCGCCCCATGAGGAGCCACCGATTTTGACTTCGTTGGCATGACACTGGCCATTGCAGTCTCCACCGCTTCCACGCCACATGCACTTATCCTTCATGCGTGCCGATGTAGGACAGCACATTGGCCATCCACACTGCCAATCTTTATGATTCTGTAATGTAGATGTTAGTAGAGTATCGAATTTCCCATGCCCAGAATCAACTTACCTTGTCGCCTTTACAGCCATGCGTGTCGTACGCTACCAATTCCATATCCTTACCACAGTCGTAGCTCTTGACATCGCTAACAACGGTCTCATTGAACTTACAACCCTGGCCCAGGAAAGAATTTGCCGTCTCCGTGTAATCATCCTTGAGATTGAAGTCAGAGAGCTGTTTGCGTGATCCGATTTTCTGGTTGCCGGTAAATGCTTTGTGTGCAGTGTTGTCGTAATCGTCAAGATCAGATGCCCAGATTAGTGACCCTGAGAAGCCAACACTATTAGCCCATTCTTTCTTCTGCTTAAAAGTGTCGGCGTCGTCGAACGAGATCCACTGATTGTTATCCCAGTGGAGATACTTGACAGCTGCTTTTTCGTCGTGTACAACGGTCAGATCTCGCTTCTTGTTCTTGTTCAAGATGTCTTGAATCTCGTAGTGTGCAAGGTAGCCGCTGGTTGCAGTACAGGCGCCTTTCTTTGCACCACCCTGTGGGATGTGATTGTTAGTATGTTTCAATGAGTAGGGAGTCACATCGATAGCTCTAAACTCACACTAAAGGGGCAACCGGGTTTGGTACAGCTTGGATCTGAAAGCGTGAATGCTCGGCCATAAAAGCCAAAGCCTAGCGCGACCTGGGACGGGGGAATTTTGACACGCCAAAAAAGCTCCGCAGCTAACTGGATTTCTGTCAAGTTCGTATGCGCCTGAACTATTGCACCACTTCATGTACTATGAGCGATTTGAATGTTTATAAAACAGTGAAGGTTACTAACATGGGATTGCTACTATCCCAGACACCATGCAGATCGTAGCTCATCTATCGAGAAAGTCAGCTCAACGATTTCTGGCATTGCTCATCGATACTTACCAAATTTACCCAGTCGGCATGCTTCATCATGCCGGGAAGATCGAACCATCGGAGGTACCAGAATGAAGATGGCGCGGTAAACGTAAGACCTAGGTTTTGGCCTGAATTACGAAAGGTGGATTTCAATGTCTTGAGAAGTTCAACGTAGTTCTTAGTGTCATCTTCCTTACCACCGCGATCAGGTGCACCAGGATATTCCCTACTTATTGTTAGAGTGCTGAGGGAGGAGAACAGTTTTCTTTACGCTTACCAGTCGAGATCGACTCCATCAAACCCATATCCGGTCATAAATTTGAGCAGATTGTTGGCAAACTTTTGTCGGTTGTCTGAGGTGCGAGCAATGTTTCCAAATACGGGTTGTGTGGCTGTGTCGTTGTCTGAAAAGGTCCACCCGCCGATACTGACAAAAACTTTGAGATCGGGCTTCAGGTCCTTAAGTGCCACTACGTCTTCAAATGTGCTTACTGGAGTCTGAGCGTCCATGGTTGTAATCTCGAAGCTGCTTGGATCGATGTAGGCAAAGGCATAGTTGACATGTGTGAGAGCATCAACTACGTAAGTATTGTAAGTGTAGAATAGGAGGAATCACTCCGGTGAGACTCACGAGGAAGATCCGACGCTTGAGTGTTGTGACAAGTTGATCTGGCATTCCAAGCCTCCCAGTATCCAATCACTGGAGCAGTCAGTTTGCATGAACATATATCTCCAGGTCACCATGCTTCCTTACCGCGATCATCTACCTTGCCTCCCCCACCCGAAGGCTTTGGATGTTCGACGCAATTGGACTGACAATTCTTTCCACAAAAGTCTACTCATACGATCAATGGCCAAACGCGGTATGTTAGAAGCTGGTTCCATACCTGCTGTGGTGCCACAGAATCCAAATTCTGAGCAGCTGTTCGACTGTTAGCAGCCTGGTTTTGAGCTTCATTGCTCTACAGGAGTAGCAGAAGCAACCTACCATGTGTTCAGCGGACATGTCTTGCCAGGGACTTTGGAAAATTTGCCACACTCAGCGGTTGCGTCACAATGGCTGGAACAGCCTGTGCCACAGTAGGTTGGCCCGTATCCGCAGTTACCGCTTTCTATGAGACCAAGTCAATCCACCAAATTTCGAACATATTTCGGATCAATGGATTGAGTCACTTACGTCCACAACAAGCCCCATTCTTGCAAGGCCCTACACGCTGGGTCAAAAAAGTGCACTATACTTCTGCAGCATAAGAGAAGTACTGACTTCCAGGAGCACAAGTGTAGTCGTCTCGTCTCGACAGCTCTACGAACGTTGTTGTACCATTGTCGAGCAGGTAATCTTCGCCCTGAATTGAATTTCTGGGACGTTGAAATGGAGAGTGATGGTTACGCCGCGAGGCATGAACGAGGTCCACTGAGCCTAAAGCAAGAAGAGACAAGAGTATGATATGTCGAAACATGATTGAAAGCCCTGCATTCCTCAAGCAGGTAATGAAAGTGCCTGGAAGTGCAAGTGATTATAAGGGAAGCTTAACTTCGAGCTTGACATCCTTGGCTTGAATCTTGCACCAGGCATAAGGAAAGGTGGACCACTTGACCGCCAATACTTCGCCATGTAAACCCTGGTCTTCTATCCCGGCCAAAATAGTCACCTTACCCCTTCTAGAGCCTCCCGCGGATAAATATCAAAACCTTGATATTGATCAAAGCGGGACAATTGTGTGTTGAACAGAACGCCACACCATCTGGTCAACCTCGAAAAAACCTATGCCGTCTCGACCCTACCCACCTTCAACTTCCAATAACAGTAATTGCTATCTAAATACCCAATATTTAGGCAAACCATCGATTTTGATCATGCTTCGCGTGGACAAAATCCGACGGGGCGAACGTATACCATCACAAGACGTTCTTGACCCTGAATTAGTCTTCATACAGCTGTATGGTGCGAGGGTTTCTAGAGAAGTTTCTCCGTTAATAACAAAAGCTGCTGCTTGGCTTCCAGGTGTTCAAGCCGAGTCAGGGGGTAGTCAGTTACTGTAAATGGTCAGTATGTGAACGGGTTCAGTGGACGAACCGTTTTTGACTTGCAATCCTTGAATTTTCAAACTACTCATGCGTCCTTTTTTCTTATGACATATGTTTCAAGAGGTTTACTTTGGTATTTCTTTTAAACAAGTGTTTTACGTTTCTAACTCTACACCTCCCATCATGGACACGGTTAGTAAAGGGTGGTTCACCGGCAGAACGTATTCACGCACCAACCGTCTACAGGACGCCTTACAGAATAAGCGGGGAGCTTCAGGACGGCTGATGCAAGCAAGCCATCCTAGAATGTCACTTCACTTATTATAATGCACACTATAATAATGATGTGCGGTGGCTGTTATCCTGGTCCGGAGATAACGCGGGTACTCCGCTACAGATGCGTACAAATATGCGAAATGGTGGTGTGCCTCGTCTACAATAAACTCTCGAAGCAAAGTGCTGACATGTAAGCAGTATAACTGCATTTGCATGATCGGTGTCCGGCCATAAGATAGCGAACGACTACTATTCCCATGTCCACTTACTTGTTCAGGATACATCTGGCGACTTTCTAAATTTACCGAGCACCATTATCCACTTTTGAACGCATTGTCCGAGATCGTGGGAGTTAAATTCGCATGGGGTGATATCGTGACTGACATGGGCTAGAACAATCGCTTCGGCCCGTACCTGCTATAGTATTGGCTTATGCAGGGCGTAAAGGCACGAGCGTTATACCTACAAGGCACATGAGCAAGCTTTCATGGTAGTCCTCGGCAGGAAAGCAAGCTTTTCTACTATGGCTTCCGCGGACAATTTACCCGGACGAATCTGGTGAGCCACTGAAATGAAAACCGAAGCTCTGGGTCGCGGTCCGGGGTCCGCAGTCTGAACTATCATTGGAACAAACAGTAACCTCGTGGGCGTTGCAGCGACTCCATATTGGTGCCGACTGAAGGGGTAGGCCTTGTCGCAGGGATGTACTAAGATTGATGGTGTGATTTTTAAATGGCTCAGGCGTCACACTACCTGGTCATGCAGCGTATACGCCCGTCTCGATAACGATCTGTGGCCTGCAGAGTGTCATTGACTAAGGAATGTACCTGCGTTTCCCTTCCTGCATCTGATACCATGCATAAGGCAACCCACACGTTATCGAGCAGCGGTAGAAAGGAAGTGTGGTGTAGACGATGCCAATTCATGGTAAGGTATAGACCATGAGACAAAAGGACTCTGGATATCTTTCTCGCAATATCACTTGGTCTCGCGACTGCTACAAGTCCAGCAAAAAAACTCACTTCACAACAGCCCCGAAAAGCTGTTAGAAAAACTGTCATGAAGTTTCTTCTTTCAGCATTCTTGCTTCTCTGGCAATCATACTTTCCCGCCTTCGCACAGCAGATATCAGGAGCTTTGCTTCCTCTTGATCTTCTCGACCTGAGTGATGGCTGCCTTGCTGTTGTGAACAGCACCATCACCTCGTGTCCCAGATGGCTCCCAAATCATGCAGGAACTGGGTATTCTACGCTCCACAATACAGTGTAAAGAATTACTAACTAAAGACTGCCTTCCAGAGATGCAAGCTTTGATCTGCTAAGTGACAAGCTTCTTGGGGATCTTTGCAGTGGAAGTTGCGCTCAAAGCCTGACCTCAGCAAGAAAAGCCATCCAAGCGGCCTGCACATCTCCCAAAGATGTAATGACCCCCAGTGGTGGTGTTGCATATCCAGGTATGAGAAAACCACTTCTAATTCATATTGTTCATGCTAACACGACCAAAGCGACATTTCTCGCCGACAGGTATCTCTACGCCATACAGTTGAGCTGTCTCAAATCGTAAGTGTATCTATGGATGATACGGACCATATTCCATGCTAACTTATAGCCTGTGAATGACAGATCGAGTGGCCAGTATTGTGACACAATGGTCGCATCATGGATGAACCAAAGCAGCAGCGCAAACTGGACAAAGGCCCAGAACTGCTCGGACTGTGAACTTGGGGTTCAGAAGCTGCAGCTTGGTTCACCCTTTGGTTATGACGATGATGGCGCCGCTACGTTCGCCTCTCTGACTTCCAGCTGCAATGCAGGAGGCTATGCTTACGCGACACCTGCCCCTTACGCCATTAATGCAACAGCACCTCCACCTCCACCGGCTCGTAATTGCTCTGGCACCTACATAATCCAGGAGGGTGATACCTGCATGTCTATCTCTGTGAAGGCAAACGTGTCGACATACGGCTTAATATCGGCAAACGGATTTGATATCAGCTGCAATCTTTTGCCGCCTGTGGGATCCACTATATGTCTTCCAAAGAAGTGTAACACATATCAACTGAGCTTTTACGACAGGTGCGGTGATATAACTTCTGGTTACAACATAACCCGGCAGCAGCTTCTTTCGTGGAACCCGATGATCAACGACTTTTGCAACAACCTTGCCAGCTGGTATGGATGGAATTTGTGTACCAGGTGAGAAATCCCCCATAACTCCTTTGTAAATAGGAGACAATCATGTTATTAACGCGACAATAGTTCACCAGAAGGGCTCGTTAAAGCCGGTCAAAGCAACACAATCGATACAGTAGCGCCTGTACCATCAGATGCGCAAAACCAGTCCAATAAACGCTGTGGACAATGGTACCTGACGAAGAAAGATGACCTATGTGGCAGTATCTCGCTAGCCTTTGGCATCTCTTTGGATGACTTCTATTTCCTCAACCCTCAAGTCGACAACAAGTGCTCCAACTTGTGGTTGAATACATCGTATTGCGTCCGGCCTGTCGGCAACGTAGCCACGTACTCTGGCTATCCGACACCAACGCCAGGCACCGTCTTCCCTAAGCCAACGCCAACACCAACATCTGAGCCTCCACCAATTGTGACAGACCCTCTGTGGTCGACGGCAGCAGGTACTGTGGATAACTGTGAGGTTTACCTTAATGCATTCTCTGAATCGCTTTCAAGTGTATTGGGCATTGCTCAGATCAATTCATGTGCTATATGGGCTGCACAAGCCGGTGTCACAGTAGAGGATCTGATAGCATGGAACCCAAGCCTTTCTACAAATAACTGCGTGTTGCAGGAGGGCAAGAGCTACTGTATCCTGAAATGTAAGTCTCCAACGATAGTCTTTTGACGCTGCTGGAATATCTCTGCATGTCCAGCTTGCTAACTCTTTCTGCAACATTTAGCAAGTTCAGCTACTCAATCGAGCAATACGATTCCTGCGTCTACCGGCTCGACACCCACGACTTCGCAACCGCCTACAAGCACTGGCGGAGGTGTACCTCCACCGGCTCAGACCCAGGCCGGTGCAAATCCATCGTGTAAGAAATGGTACGTTGTTGTGTCGGGTGACGGCTGCTGGGCAATCGCAAATACAGCAGGCATTGCGCTTGATGACTTCTACAAATGGAACCCGGGCGTCGGAGAATGTGCCAACTTGTGGCCTGGCTATGCTGTCTGTATAGGGGTGTGATTGGATTGGGTGTGCCACTGATGTCGTCTATGAATTCCTCCAATTATTGGCTCATAATCACGAGGTGCTCATACTATCAACTTGCACCAAATTGATATGCAGGTGCGGGCCCACAAACCAGGGTCCCTTGCTTGCCTAAGCTTTGTCGGATCTAGTCAAGCGTGATCTGCTTTTGTGCCTTGCAGCATGCGCGCTTATTATAAGAGCTGTTAGTTGTCGCCACATTGGTACTTATCCTGCGAATGCCAGTACGGTATTTGTCTCACCAGCAACATTCGCAACTTTTCCCGCGCATCAATCGTTCAAGTCTCTTCCTTCTCCTGCATATTCGATATCAAACTCCAGTTCTTCTCAACTTCAAGATCAAGTCTCACACATCTCTTGTGGGGCAGCAACTCACCATGTCAGCAGACGACTCTCCCTCGACTGCCGAAGTGCTCAGGCGATTGAAAGAGGAAATGGCACAGCAAGGGCCGAGAACTCACAAGGAGCACCATGCCATTGAAACCAGTCTCTCACACCCATACTTACAATCAGACACCAAATGGGGGTTCGTCATTATCCGCGCAGCATATGGTCCGTCCAGCGATGCACTGTGGGCTCAGTTTCTCGAAATCTTTCGCGCCAATGTCGAGGAGACTTTGCGACTGGAAGAAGAGCTAGATTTACTTCCACGTCACGAGATCACGATTATTGAAGATGAAACAACACTTGCTGGTGCAGACTCGTACGCCGCACGCCGCGCATTCCGCGCCTGGGTAGCCAATGACTTGCCTCAGCGGCTCCGCGGCTCGTACCTGGAAGAGTTGGGCGGACTCACGCAGGTTCGCGAGAAGTTACTCAGCAATGATGCACACAACGCACCTGGCACAACACATCCTGCGAGTCTCGTGCCGCCTCGATGGAAATACTGCATCTTCGTGGATCAAGATTGCTTGCGCTCGGTGGCAAAAGGGCCCGAGGAGCCCGAGTTGAAAGACCCAGCCATGAAGATTCTGACTACGGACTGGGAGCGAGATGAAGTAGAGGTGCCCATTGAGGAATTTACGAGGGATTGGGATGGCGGCGAGACGAATGATGATGCTGAAGAGGTTGGGTGGATGTACATGGACATGACGGATTATGTTACCGTGTATGATCGTTTGACTGGTACATTCGCTTGGGAAGAGTATTACCAGCGGCCGTACAAAAGCTATGTGGATGATTCGGATTCAGATTCGGAGTGAATGTGATGTGGTAGGGTTTGTATGTTATGCACGGTAATACATGTAATGACTATTTGACTGCAGAACAGCTTATGAGTGAGAGATCGGGGACATCAAGGCAGAGTAAACACCAACCTAGAGAACATTAGTACCTGAAGTAATTCAGTTAATACAGTCGAGGTGGTAATAGTAGTGATTATGGACTACGAATGATCACAATGGCAAAGTGCAGGGAGCTGACTCAGCCCCAACGCGGTTGAAGCACAGACTGACGTCGTGCACCGAACTTTTTTTGGTCGTTTCACAAACACTGTGCTGGACCGCTTTCCAGCAAATTCCTCTTTTTCACAACTACAACAGTCTCTGTACTTTGCCGAGTCTTTTGCGGAGGACGTTATGTGTATGTACGAATGAAGATAGTAGAACAAGTTTTAGTATCTCGTCCATTGCGCTCGATCGCTCTTGCTCGCCTCGTTCCTTCGCGCTTGTCCCTAGTAACTCATACAAAACTCGGCTGCTCTTCAACAGCCCCCCTTGGCTTCTACAACAGACATCACGCTCACATAGCACAACTATCAACGATGCCCCCACCACCAAAGCGCAAGTGGCCTCGCGGCAGAGGAGGAGGCGGTGGCGGAGATCGTACAAATGGAGGTGCAGCAACACCCGGAACGTCTACGCCTCGCTCGACAATGTCGCAGCAGCCCAAACGCCCGAAGATGGAAAACACGCAGCCAACTCCCGATACGAGCGTAGATGTGCGACAAATGTACAGCACGGCGGCAGGCGATGCGGCACCAAAGCCGTTTTCCGAGTTGAAGGGTAGACTACACCCAGGGTTGCTTGACGGCTTGGACAAGATGGGATTCCAGTAAGCAGGATACGTGACGAAGCAGGAGATTGCTCCTCACTTTGCATGTTGGCGTTGGAGGCTCAGCTAACAACGACAGGTTCATGTCTCCGGTTCAGCAAAAGGTTCTAACCGAGCTTCCCTCACTATCGTCAGACTGCGTTGTCCAGGCAAAGACGGGTACAGGCAAGACGGTGGCTTTTCTACTTCCCGCAATTCAGAATCTCCTGGCAGGCAACATGCCCCCAAGAGGCAAGGTCGCTATTCTCGTCATCTGCCCCACACGCGAGCTGGCTCTGCAGATTGCCAAGGAGTGTAATGGTGTGACGGCATGTCTGCCACAGAAGATGGAGTGTCACACTGCGTTTGGCGGTACCTCGCGTGCGTCGAATCTCAAGGCTTTCATGAACGGCAACCCAACTGTTCTGGTAGCAACGCCCGGAAGACTGGACGATATCTTGGGTGAAGAGGAAGTTCGCGACAAGTTTTCGCACTTGAAGACGGTGGTGCTGGATGAAGCAGATCAGATGCTGGATGCTGGCTTTGCACCTGCAGTCAAGAAGATCCTGAGACGCATCCCACCCAAGAATGACGGCTGGCAGGGTATGTGCTTTTCTGCAACGCTGCCCAAAGAAGTGCTTGATATTGCAAAGATTGTCCTGTTTCCCGGCTACACGCATCTCTCGACGGTGGATCCCAATGAAGTGCCCACGCACGAGCGGGTACCACAGTTTTTCATTTCTGTTCCTACCGTTGGTCAAATATTCCCTGCACTGTCTGCATTGATCGAGGAGGAATACAACCAGAATCCTACCGACTTCAAGGCCATTGTGTTTGGCACGACGGCAAACGGCGTGGGCCTGCTCTACGACCTGTACCGCAACGCACTACCTGAGTTCCGGCTATTTGAGCTGCACAGCCGCATGTCGCAGCCGGCTCGAACCAAGACGACCAAGGACTTCAAGGAGGCGTCAAGTGGAATCTTATTTGCATCTGACGTGGTTGGGCGCGGCATGGACTTTCCCAACGTTGGGCTCGTAATCCAAGTGGGGCTTCCTTCGAGCACCGAACAATACGTCCACCGCGTGGGTCGCACGGCGCGTGCAGGCAAGGACGGCCGCGCGGTCATCATCCTATTCGAGCAAGAATCCTTCTTCCCACGCGTCAACAAGACGCTGCCCATCCAGCCATACCCGGTCGACATTGTGTCGCGACTGGCTGCCCACGAACCGAAGATTGAGCGCGCGTTTGTGGACGTGGAGGAAGTGTCCAAGGCAAAAGCGTACCAGGCTTTTCTGGGCTACAACAAGACGTTTGTGAAGAAGCTGCAGCTGTCGACGGCGGACCTGGTCAGGCTGGCGAATGAGTATGCGTATACGATGGGGTGTCCTGAGCCGCCAATGCTGGAGAAGTCGACGGTGGGCAAGATGGGGTTGAAGGGGGTGCCTGGGTTACGGATTGGGTCGCGGAAGTAGATGCGATTGGAAGAGATGATATCATGGAAGTAAATGGCCATGGGGAGGGGTCCTTTTTCTTTTCTTCAGACATGTTTTCATGGTTTGCATGGGTACTATAGAATGGGGTCGGGGCAATGATGTTTCTTTGACTACTCAGCGTCATCACGATCACGATGGAATGGGAATCTCAAATCACGCATTCTGGTAGCACGGCAACAAAGGCTAAGATGAATGACAGTTTACTCGGATATATATACCCCCTTGGAAGAAAGAGAGAAAAAAAATCAAAGTTTCTACCATTCTCGACAGGTACATTGTAGATGGGCAACAGCCAACATGGATTTATCCATGTTTCTCCGTTGGCTGACCGCTACTAAACGTTTACCGTTGCCAGAGTCTAGACCATGGGGTTTTGTGGTGACTCACTCGGGAATACCACTGACTCGTACCTTTCATCTTCTTCTTCTTTCCGATTTGCTGCCTCACGAACAACCCAGAAAGAAAAAAAAGGGGGGAAGGGGGTCCAGGGCATAAGGTTTCGAGCGACGACGATGACAATGACCATGGGTGAGCACTTGTCAAGACATTTGTGAAAATAAAACGAGTGGTCAAGATGAGTACAGGTCGACAGTCTTGAGGGAGGGAACACGGATACGGGAATCTTTTGTAGTACCATCCTTGTAGATTTTTTAGGTTTCTCTGCTGTAGGTTAGAGGGAGAAAGGGATGATGCTTGTTTCGTGTGACAGTGTGACATGTCTTAGTTTTGCAAACAAGGTGACAAGGCAGGGGTAACATGGGTTATTCTGAGTGAGCAAAAGGTGGAAAAAGGCCGGGATAATGTGGTACAAGAAGTTGGCCGATTGTAATCGGGATCGAAGAGGGCCCCTTACGTCCGGTGGACTAACACCTACGGGACGGGTAGGGGAGCGAGTCAGTGGGGAAAAAAAAAGATGACGTCTTTGGTTGGAATAAAGGTTCGGGAATGAGTTATGCTAGCGCTGATTTGAAAAAAAAATGAAATAAGCTGTTCGGTAATCGGGTTATGAACAATTTGCGCTGGATGCAGAGAGGGTTGGTGCTCAGATAGTGGGCAAAGAGAGGGTGATCAGCAATGATGCGCCCGCCGCGGGGCCCACAGTCTGGCAAATCATCGGAGAGAGGTCCGGCGGGTGGGTGGATGTGCGGACGGCGGGCAGAGCGGGCGGTGGATCGTGATTTGTGTGTTTTGCTGGAAAGGGCAAGAGAAAGGAAAAGCTGGTCTCTTCTCGCTTAAGGGGATATTAAAAGAACCACAGACGTTTTTTGACAACTGGCTAGCGTCGGGCTTGGAGAATCAAGGCAGAGGACTGACGAGCAAGGGTATATGGAGTTTGTAAAGCCCGAAAGGAAGGGGAGGGGGGAGGGGGCAAACAAAGATATGGGCAGGTTTTCAGTATGGGAAAGACAAAGATAGGTGTAACCCGGATAATGGGAACAATGGTGAGCTGCAAAGGCGGCAGTTGAGTGGGGTGCATTTACTGGCGCGCGGAGATAGTTGGTGAGTAGTTGCATGAAAAGACGGAATACAACGGAGAGAGAGGGGGAGGGGGGCACACTAAGGCAAGCGTACTGGCCAGTTAAGGATGAGATTAGCAGCATTGCATTGCGCGATAGCAGCAAAAACGGTGCATCGTCGTCGACGACGTTGGGTGAGGGCGCATGTCCCTTTGTGCATGTTTGCGATTGCCGTGGAGTCTGGAGAGCCGTGCGGCAGGAGTTGTAGCGATCGAAATGAGCATCGTGGGCGGGAGGGAGGACAAAGAAGCGTCTGGACCGGGCGGGTGATGGGCAGACAGGCAGGAGTGTCGTGGGTCGTGGGCCTTTTCTTGCCAGTGCAGGGTTAGGGATAGGGCAGCACGGGCTCGTGCTGTGGCTGCCTGCGGTGGGCGAGCTGAGGTGGGCGCTATGAGCCAGGGTCGGTGTTGTTCGAGTTTCATGCGCCCCTAGCGGCTGGATCGGAAGATGGCTCTGCGAGGACGAGGATAGGCTGCGGCCGGCAGACGTGTAGTAAACTAACACACGGTAGACAGATGCTATCCACGGGCAGGCCGCCGCGACGTTGACGCTGCTGGAGCGCCTGTTTCAGCGGGCGCTTTGTCGAGGCGTGCGCATGTTTCCGCCTGGCCCAAGGGCGTGGCGGCGAGTGGCCAGATGGGCTCTGATTCAATGGCAGCGGGCGCATAAGGGGCGTGTGGCCCAGATGTCGACAGAGGGAAAATTGAGTGTTTATGCGGGCGGGCATGGCGAACAGCTGGCTAGTGTCAAGTGCCGGCTCGAGGATGGTGCTGGAGATGGGTGAGGATAGACATGGACGGGGGGGCATGACGTGGGCTGGATCCAAGGGAACGCGTGCTTCCGGGCGGTGATTGGCCGGATGCCCTTGCAGGCGCTGGTGGGTATACTCAGTACAGTGGCAGCCAAGCATGGTAAGCTGCACGAAAGCCAGGCCGTGATTCCTCCAAACCAAGGCAAGGCAGGCCAAGTGCAAGCGACTACTATGCACGCAGACACGGTACGAGTAGAGACGACAAGGTAGCGTACACAAGATAGGTCACGGCAATGCTAAGGCCAGCCAACAGCCAACAGCCAGCCAGCCAGCCAGCCAGCCAAACACCCACCCAGTCCCGTCCACCGCGTCCGCGTCCGCCTCTCGCGCTCACTCTTGTTGCCTGC